CACCTGAGGACATTTTTTCCATTTTTTGTTCAGGTAGAGTGGGAGGGAGAGAGGAACAGAGAGAGAGAGAGAGAGAGAAACATCGATGTGAAAGGAACACATCGAGTGGCTGCCACCCACACAACCGACCAGGGCCGGGGACAAACTGCAACCAAGGTACGCGCCCTTAGCGGGAACCGAACCCGGGTCTCTCAGGACTGTAGGCCGACGCTCTAACCGCTGAGCCAAACTGGCCAGGGCGATAGCTTTCTTTATTAAACACAACTTGATTTTAGGTGTGGTGAGTGCTTTACATTCACTGTCTCATTTATTCTTCACTCCCACCCTACAGGTTTAAGTGCTCTTATCCTCCTTTTATAGATGAGCTGAGATCTGTGTTTAGTCACTGCAGATAGTCATATAAGTGATGAGGTACAGAGCCAAAACTGGAACTAGAACTGGGTATGAACCCAGAGCCCACACTCTGATGTGCAGAGTGTTAAATAAAGGCAGACTAACCACCTTGCAGAAGCGCTTCCAGATTCCGGTTCATGGGGAGTTGTGTTTTGCTGCCCTGGGAGACCCCTTTCAACCCTGACACTCTGTGGCCTAGGTTTCACCCTTACCTGCAGGGTGCTGCCATCATACTGCAGCCCAGGATGGTGGCCCAACCCCCAGTGAGTCTTCCTCTGGCAACTTGTACATAGCACACCAGGGGCTGCCGACTCCTGACTCCAGGGGCCTTGACTGTACTCTGCTGGGCACACCTCCCCTCCCCAGGGTCGGGTCAGGGACTGGCTCTTTCATCTCTTCTTTCCCCTAGCACCCAGTGTGGCTACTTCCCACAGTGGAGATCTGTTCTGGCCGCTTTCTCATGGCTGGCCCCAAGTGGTATCTGATGCGTGTTTCCTTCCAAAATCCCAGGATAGAGTATGTAACGGTGACTCCAGAAGGATTCCGGTACCGGGGCCAGATCTTCCCAACTGTGAATGGACTGTTCAGATGGTTTAAGGATCATTACCAGGATCCTGTACCAGGTGAGTTGCACTCTCTGACTTCTGGGCTGTGGCTGGAGGGACACCAAGGCTCTGCATCAAGGTAATCACTAACTAGCCATCCATGGGAGGGGGTGAGGTACAGTCTGTCATTGCAGCTCTTACTCCTACTCCAGTCTCCCAGCGTCAGGAAGTTCCTCCATCCATTTTGCCTATGTGGCATCATTTTTTCTCAGTACCTTCTTCAGTTCCCTAAATTATGAAACGAGAAACATAACTGATTCTGGCTCTTTCCTGTAGGAATCACCCCCAGTAGCAGCAGCAGGACTCGAACACCTGCTTCTATCAATGCTACCCCAGCTAACATCAACCTTGCAGGTAAGGAGCTCACACCTAGGACTGTGGCCCAGAGGGATAAAGCTAGGATTTTCATCTCTAATGTGCCACCTTCCACCTTTTTGTGCTTACAGATCTGACACGGGCCGTGAATGCCCTGCCCCAGAACATGACCTCACAGATGTTCAGTGCCATTGCTGCCGTGACTGGCCAAGGACAGAACCCTAATGCAACCCCAGCCCAGTGGGCCTCCAGCCAGTATGGCTATGGCGGCAGTGGAGGGGGCAGCAGCGCTTACCACGTACGTGGCTTGGAGAGAAAACTCTGTGGAGGGAGGGGAGAGTGAAAGGGAATAGTCATCCTTTTCCAACCCGTGTCCATAGACTGGCCACTGGCAATGCCCACCTGTACATGCACAGGTGAGCCTTAGGAACTGTCTCCAACAGATATTCTTTTTCCTCGGGCCCATTTGAGGGGAAAGGGAATAAAAGAAGGTCTGACCTTTCTACAGAGTTCTTTGGGATCTTTGGAACCCTCAAGCCACTAGAAACTTCAAGTGGTCAGGACCCAGAGGCCCTATTGTTGTGCCTGGTCCCATCCCATTGGCCTACCTCTGCTGCTCAGGAAAGGATCAGCTGGGAAGGCCTGTGCTGAACCCAAATTTCCAGCTTTCTAGAAATTCATAGGAAGGCTAAATATGCTCCAAATCCTTCCCCATTTAACTGTTCATCCTTCTCCAGGTATTCCCAACTCCAGCCCAGCAGCCAGTGGCCACACCACTAATGACTCCCAGCTACTCCTACACGACCCCAAGCCAGCCCATCACCACCCCACAGTACCACCAACTACAGGCCAGCACCACCCCACAGTCTGCCCAGCCCCAGCCCCAGCCCTCCTCCAGCTCTCGGCAACGGCAGCAGCAGCCAAAGTAAGTATATGGATGGTGGCATGGAGTAGGGGCAGGTGCTGTCAAGAGGGCAAGGGGCTTAGCATAGGCAGATGCTCTGGGTCTTCTGTGAGCCATGACCCAGGTGATGTTCCCATCAGGACTGTTTTCTGGGAGATGACAGAAGAGGAGGCAGTGTGGCAGTTGGCCACAGCTACTGCCCATAGGTATGGGGTCCATTTCTGCAAGGGTGGATGTTCACCAGTGACAGATACGAAGGCTTCCTTCTAGTGAACCTCTGGAGAGTTCCAATCTGAAAGGCCCCTTCTCTCACCCAGGTCCAACAGCCATGCAGCCATCGACTGGGGGAAGATGGCAGAGCAGTGGCTTCAGGAGAAGGAGGCGGAGCGGCGGAAACAGAAGCAGCAGCGGCTGACACCTCGGCCGTCCCCCAGCCCTATGATCGAAAGCACCCCCATGTCTATTGCTGGCGATGCCACCCCGCTCTTGGACGAGATGGATCGGTAGGGGGCCTGCTCCTGGGACTCTGGTTACCTCTGAGGCTGGGAGAGGCCTGCCTCATTCCCTGCCCCTCCTTTTCTGTCCATAAAGTGGCGTGATTTGACGTTCTCTTTGGTGGTCAGCCTGGATGGGTGACAGGTCCGATGGCCTTGCGAACTTGAGCTCAGTGTACGCTAGGCGACAATTCTCCCATTCCAGGCCCTCACCTACCACCTCTCCTGGGACCAGGCTGGGAAGGGAGTGTGGCAGGGAGGAAGAAGAGGAAGATGAAAATGAGTGGAACAGTTTTGTATTCTACTCCCCTACAAGCCATTTTGAGCTTCTGCCCTTATCTGACTCTGGGCTGTGACCGGGCAGCAAGCTCAGCACATGAGTCTCCCACAGCTCTTGTGGGGAGACAGATGCTATTTATTCAGTTTGGGGCAGGAGGGAGAAGAGGGGAAGTATTTCTGACCTGGATGCCAACAACTTGGGTGGCTATCAAAGCAGGATTGCAGGGGACATAGGGTTGCAGTGCTAATCTGCCCAGCCCCCTCCTGGCTACCCTCACCCACCTGCTGCCATTGCTGCTTCCTGCCTGTCATTTGAATAAACAGTGTTTCTACAGAGCACTTGGCAAAGCCTCTCTCTCCCTCTCTGGCTCTTGAGGGATGGCTTTCAGTGTTTGGAGCTCCGAGGACTCCCTGACTCCCTCTTCCAGGCCATTAGAGGGGCAGTGACTCAGAAAAGCAGGCCGTTAATATACCAGATTGCCTGGTGTGGCATTCCTGTTCCACTTCCCAGCCCTGTGACCTTGAGCGCACTCCTATTATCTCAGCCAGCTTCTCTGTAAATGGGATAGTGATATCTACCTCATCAGGGCATCTGGGGGGACAGATAGTGTGAAGGGCTTGGCCCAATGCCTGGGACCTCATAAGGCGTCAGTAAATGTTAGCTGCTATTATTTCCACTCACACAGAGCCATTCACTGTACCTACTACAGATGGACCCCAATTTAATGATGGTTCAACTTAAGATTTTTTTGACTTTACAGTAACGCGAAAAAACTATACACATTCAGTGGAAACTGTACTTCAAATTTTGAATTTTGAATTTTGCTCTTTTCCTGGGCCAGTGATACGCAGTAGGGTACTCATGAGGCTGGGCAGCAGCAGCGAGCCGCAATTCCCAGGCAGGCAGCCACCAGGGTAAACAATAGACAACAGTGTGTTCATCGTGTTAGATGCTTTTGCCCAACAGTAGGTTAATGTAAGTGTTTTGAACACATTTAAAGTAGATTGGGCTAAGTTGTGGTGTTCAGGTGTGTTAAATGCATTTTCGACCTAACGCTATTTCCAACTTACAGTGGGTTTATCAGAATGTAAACCCATTGTAAGTCAAGGAGCATCTATGGACTTCTTTGGCACATTTGAGAAAGGCCACAAGTAAATCTGGGTTTCTCAACTTGAGCCCCTGCCCCTCTCTCTCTTACTTTTTTGCCAGCTGGGCCTTAGTCTCTGACAGTACTTCTACACCAGTCAAGTATGTGACCCAGGGTGGGCCCCACACTCACCTGCTGCACACATATACTGGCCCTGGGAAAGGGAACTGGGCTACTGCAGGACAGGCCAGTCCCCAGGCCCTGGTCCTTTCCCCCAGCCCCACTGCCACTTTTATTCTGTTTCTTTGCAAGGGTTTTGTCTCATAGCTCTGTGAGTTGGGGCTGGGAATGTGAGGCTTTTCTACTCTCTTCTCTCTGCTTAAGGCTCAGCAAAGAAGTAAAAAAAGGCCACTACTTCCCAAACTTGGTGAGCTCTTTTCCTTGCTTTTCTGCATTCAAAATCTCTGGCTGTTTATTGTCAAGAGTTGGAGGAAGAGGGGGAGGGGCTGGCCTTCTGTGGGGAACTCAGTTCAGTTCCCTTTAGCACAAAAGGTCTATGCCCTGGCCAGATGGTTAGTGGTTGGAGCGTTGGCCCAAGCACTGAAGGGTCACAGGTTCAATTCCTGGTCAAGGGCATATACTTGGGTTGCAGGTTGGATCCCCGGCCCTCATCAGGGCATGTGTGACTTTCACATTGTGTCTCTCTCACATTGATGTTTCTCCTGCCCCCCCTTCCACTCTCTCTAAAATCAGTGGAACAGATATCCTTGGGTAAGGATTAACAACAACAAAATAAAAGGTCTAAAAGGGCCTAGTAGGAGCAGGACCACATAGCTGGTAAGATTATGTTCCCATTGGTGCTACCAGCCCCTCCAGGGACACTTTAAGGAGGGAAAGGCCAGGCACAGTGGCAGAGGTTAAAGGTTCAGTTTATTAGGAATATCACCACAGACAGTCCCGCCTGTCCCGGAATGGGTTTAACACAAACCAGTCTCCCAGTAGATGGGATGCCTCCTTCCCACCCCACCCAGATGTGTGCTTCTGCCCTGGGCCTAGGATGTCATAGAGAAACAGGCTGTTACAGTGCCCCTACCCTGCTTTCCTACCTACCTTCCTACGCACTTCCTCCTGAAAGGTGGACTGCCCTTTAGAAACCCCTGCAGCCCCCTAGACCCTCTGCTCCAGCTATGCCCAGAACCCACCCCCTCCCCCCAGAAGTAGCCAAGTTGGAGGGAGAGAGAACAGCAGCAGGGGATGAGCAACAGGCTTGATGGCATTTATTCTTCACCCTGGTTGCCCTGGCCTCAACTGAGATTGGGGTTTGATACTGGGGGAGATTTTCTCTTGTTGATCTTCTTGATTGGAGAGGGCTTTGCTCCAGGTTTCTTGGTCTGGACCATGTTCTTCTCTTTCTTTCTGGGCGATGAAGTCTCCACAATATCCTCGCTGGAGGGCTCCTCTTGCCTGGGGTCACTGTAGCTGTCCTCACTCTCTAGCTCTTCCCGGCTGTCTGGGCTGGACTCTGACATCCTGGCCAAGTCCCTTGGGCTTATTGATCTGATCAAGTCTGGAGGTGAAGATTCTGATTTAACTGGGCTTTTCTTTTTAGTCAACTTGCCCTTCTTGATTTTTTTCTTCAACTTTGCCTTCTCATCTATCTCCTCCTCTTTCTCTTTCTCTTTTTCCTTTTTCTTCTTGACCTTTTTGATAACTTTGGTGCCCTGGGACTTCCCTGTGGGACTCTCAGAGCGCCAGATGGTAATGGGAGCTGCCGAGTCTGGGGTACCTGTGATCGTGCCCACTCCTATGCCTTTGTCGGGTGTGGTGGTGGTAGGCCCCACCTGGGTCGGGATAGGAGGCTTGCTTTCTTCCTCCTCTTCCTCTTCTTCATTTAGGTCATCTGCTCCACATTCGTGGTGGATGGGATGGTGGATCACTGCCACAGAGACAGGCCTGTAGCTTTTGCACCTGGGAGGGAGAAGGACAGGGAAAGAGAAGGTTGACAGAGAGTGAAGGCCAATATCCCAATAGTACCCCCATCAGCCTGCCAGCACTCACCAGCCATACCAGAACCGCTCCACACATTCCTCCTCTGGGATGAGCGCAAAGCAAGGCGTCTGGATGATGTTGAAACAGGTTGAGCCCATATCTTGGGAGCTGCTGCTATTTGTGTTCTCTGAGAAGTCCTTCACCCTGCCACATGGAACTCAGCCTGGCTCCCACACCTCCAGGACTCCCCAGGGGCCCAGAGCCAGAAGCCTGAAGGACAATGGGCTTTCCCAGTAGTAACTCCAGGCTCAGCCCAGGCCAGCAAAAGACCTCCTCCCCATTGCTCTTGGAGCAGAGCCAGGTTTGCAGCACCTGGTCAGGGCTAAAGGAGGGAACCTCACGCAGTGAAAGTTTGGACCTGGCTCTGCCAAGGAGTCTCCTGAGCTGTGGCTCTCCCAAGGAGGAGGGTCCTTACCTGGAATCACAGTCACAGTGGCTGAGAGAGTGCAGGTGCAGGTTGTGGTGAGCGCAGTCAGATGTGAAAGGGTGGATGATATGCCCAGTGCACTGCTTATGTTTCCAGCAGCACCTGTCCTTGAATTCACCTAAGGGGTAGGAGTCTGGGTCATACAGGGGTGGCAGCAGCAACACATCTGTAGGTCTCCCCTCCCACAGCTCGGTCAATAGGCATCCCCAAATTCACCTGCCACCACAGCCCCCAAGCTGTTTCTACTTCATAGTAGTAATTCATCCCAGTAGTAACCTAAGGACTCAGCACTCTGCTTTCCCCAATTCACTGCATGAATCTTCCTGCCCCCTATAGACTCCCAGGAAAATCTCACTAAGGTCCTCACCAAATCCCCCTTGCTGTCCTGTGACATCTGCCTCTTCCCCTCCCCTGCCTTCTGTGGGGGGCTATCCTCCTGGGGCTCTCCACTGACTCCTACTGGTCTCTCACCCAGCTGCTGGGAGTTGTCAGCTACCTCACTCCACAGGGTGCCTAGTAGGGACCGGCCTTCTTGCCATCGCAGACTATGGAGTGTCACTTCCGCGTCCCCAGCAATTACATCCAGCAACAACAGCATCCTCAGTTCCTGTGCCTGCCCTGCTCAGGCCCAGGAGGACTTCATCCGACCCCTCACATCCTCTGAAGCCATTCCAACCCCAAGCCTGGAGGGGAGCTACAGTCTACCCTGCCACACATGCTCCTTGGCTTCTGGTTCTGGTTCTTCCCTTTTCCCTCTCTTCTCCAAGCCCCTTCTCTCTTCAGACACTTCTCCTCTCTCTCTCCCCTTTCCCAGGCTCACTCTTGATTTTTTTCCCAGCTCTTTAATCCCCCCTCTCAAATCTCCACTCCCCCCTCCATCCTGTCCCCAGGTCTTGGAACCACTTGCACAACCCACTCCAGCCTGAACCCTTCCCCTTGTAGGCAGCACAAATGCCATGCCCCTTTTCCCAGGGCATGGGGGAGAAGCTGCTGGGGTGAGAATCTGGGATTGGAAAGCCCTGGAGAAAGGTTCCCCCCTCTTTTATTCAACTGAATGCAAGTCCTGGACACACACTGGAGTCTCCCAGCCTCTACCTGCACTGTCTCATCTCTGATCCTGCCTAAGGCTCCAGTCTACCAATGGGTCTCCCCTCCAGCCACCCTCTAAAAGGTAAGCACACAAAGTAACTCCATGTGCCCAGAATCTCATACATATCAGGGCAGAGAGGACGAGGTACCTTCCTGCAGGTGTCCCCTGGACTCTGGCTCCACCCACCTTGGGAGAAAGAAGTGGGTGAGCACCAGTGACTTCCATGACAGTCTGGCATGGGGTGCCATGGCTGGCTAGCCCTCCAACCAGGCCCTTTATCCTGTCCCTATAAGATGTGGAACTGGGAAGACCTCATATAACCCAGGCAGGGGGTGTGTGAGTCCAATTGGCCTTAAAGTTCTTGAGAGATGAGTAGACAGTAGCTTGGTTTGAGCCTTACTCCACATTCCTCCTCCCTTCCCTTCCCCTGACCAGGCTGTGAGGGCCCCAGGTCCCCCATCTACCCTTGACCCATTTGGTGGCCTCCCGTTCTCCTTCCTCTCCTCTCATGCTCTTTCTTCATAAGAATGTGAGGCAGGACTGGCCTGTGTGGCTCAGTGATTGAGCATTGACCCATGCCCCAAGAGGTCGCCAGTTCAATTCCTGGTCAGGGCAAATGCCCAGGTTGTGGGCCAAATCCCCAGTGAGGGGCATGCAGGAGGCAGCCAATCGATGTTCTCTCTCATCGATGTTTCTATTTCTCTCTCCCTCTCCCTTCCTTTCTCTAAAAATCAATAAAGAAAAAAAAAAGTCAGTCTTAAAAAAAAAAAAATGTTGCCTTGGCCAGTTTGGCTCAGCAGTTAGAGCGTCGGCCTGCGGTCCAGAGAGACCTGGGTTTGGTTCCCGCTAAGGGTGTGTATCTCGGTTGCAGTTTGTCCCCGGCCCTGGTTGGTTGTGCGGGTGTCCTTTTCACGTTAATGTTTCTCTCTCTCTCTCTTCCTCTCTCTCCCTCCCACTCTATCTGAACAAAAAATGGGAAAATGTCCTCGGGTGAGGATTTAAAAAAAAAGAATGTGAGGCAGGACTTTGGAACACCACCACTTCCTCAGCTTTCTTCAGCACTGCTGAATTGGGGCAGAGGGCAGCATAGTAACATGTCCCAAATTTGAAGTCAGATAGGCCTGAGTCCAAGTGTTGGCTCTGTCACTAGCCGGGTGACTAAAGGCCAGTTACTTTACTTCTCTGAGCCTTCATTTTCTTGTCCACAAAATGGGGATGGTGGTAATACCTATTTTGCAGGGTTGTTGGGAGGACTCAGTTCATATGTCAAAGATATTTGTGCACCATAAAAGGGGTGATTGTGGTCTCCAGAAAGGGACCTTCTCTGGCATGATTAGGGATTGGGATGGAGGTGGGGTGGCAGGGTAACCCCTTCAGGACCAAACATTTCCCTCCATCCTGCCTACCACCAGGGGTCAGCTATCCCAAGTTAGGGGTGGTGGGGACCCCTGGGCCAGAGATTCCCCTGGACGCACCTTCAGAGGAGAAGGTAGATGCATCAGTGCTAGACGCCACACCAGTCAGCAGATGTCCTCTTTCCCAGCCGGGTAACCTGTTTATGTCTGAGAGAATACAGAGTGGTGGCAGCCAAACCCCCTCCCATGCCATTCATTCATCAAACCTTTTCTGAGACACCCTAGGTGTCAGGCCCCATCTGCATCCAAGATGCAGAGATTTAAAAGAAGTGCCCTGGCCGGTTTGGCTCACAGTCTGCCATGGAAAGAAGGCCAGTCCCTACTAGGCACCCTGTGGATTGAGGTAGCTGCCAAGGGCATGTACCTTAGTTGTGGTTTGTCCAGGCCCTGGTTGGGTCATGCAGGAGGCAACCAGTGGAAGTGTCTCTACCATTGATGTTTCTCTCTCTCCCTCTCTCTTTCCCTCCTTCTCTCCCTCTCTCCCTCCCTCCCTCCTTCCCACTCTATCTGAAGATTAATGGGAAAAAGATATCCTCAGGTGAGGATTAAAAAAAAAAGTGCCCTGACCGGTTTGGCTCTGAGGTTAGAGTGTTGGTCTTCGGACCAAAGAGTCCTGCATTAGATTCTGGTCAAGGGCACCTACCTGGGTTGTGGTTCAGTTCCCGGCCCTGGTCGGGTAACACAGGAGGCAACCAGTTGATGTGTCTCTCTCACATTGATGTTTCTGTCTCTCCCTCCCGTTCTGTCAGAAAACAAATGGAAGAATATCCTTGGGTGAGGACTTAAAAATAAAATATAGCCCTGGCCGGTTTGGCTCAGCGGTTAAGTGTGTTGGCCTGCGGTCCAGAGAGACCTGGGTTCAGTTCCCGGTAAGGGCACATACCTCGGTTGCAGTTTGTCCCCGGCCCTGGATGGGTCGTGTGGGTGGCAACCACTCAATGTGTCCCTTTCAAGTTGATGTTTCTCTCTCTCTTCTCTCTGTCCCTCCCACTCCATCTGAACAAAAAATGGAAAAATGTCCTCAAGTGAGGATAAAAAAATAAAATAAAATACAAACTTAATACTATAAAAAATAATAAAAGCAACCAGTCCCTGCTTTCAAGGGGGTGGGAAAGGGTTTGAGGAGAGAAGCGGGAGGTATGTGGAAAGGTTCATGACAGTGCAGTGGTGTGATGCAGACACTGATAGGGAGGGAAATGGTGGAAACAGAGAACAAGGACACCTACTGAGATGGTGGGGGTGTAGGGTGAGATTAGGAAAGTCTTGGAAGTGCATAAGAGGAGCTGAATCTGGAGAAATAATAGGAGTGATCAGTCTAGGCAAGGAGGGGATAGTTCCAGGAATTGTCACAGGGTGTGTGGAGCTGGGTCAGAAGTTGTCCCCCAGGAGAACTCTAACTGGTACAGTGGCTACATCAACAACCACAGGGAAGAGTCTGCACTTTCCTTTTCTTCCCACAATTAGCTTTGTCCTTTGGGGCATTGGTCTGCTTAAGGAAGGGAAGCTGATTGCTTGGGGACTTCAGCTGGGCCTTCAGTGGCACTTGGTCATCTTTCTACAGTTCCTTGGTCAGCTCCTTCTGTTTTCCGCCACACAGTAAGTACTCAGAATTGATTGATTGTTTGAATGAAACTTCAAGCACTTCCCTGGAAACTCCTACCCTGCTACTGTTCCTCACAGCAGATCATTTTACCAGCCTTATCTGTGACTGCTCCCAAGCTCATCAACTCTCCTCCAACCTAGGAAGTGTCCCTCTTTCCTTCTGCCCAAAACACCTGAACTCTAGGTCCCCACCAGAATTTTCACCTTCTCCTTTAATGGTTTGTTTTTTCCCTACGGGCTATGAACACCTTTATTTATTTATTTTTTTAATCCTCACCCAAGGACTTTTTTTTTTTTTTTTCATTTATCTTCAGACAGAGTGGGAGGGAGAGAGAGAAACATCAACGTGAGAGAGACACATCGAGTAGTTGCCACCCACATGACCCCAACCGGGGCCGGGGACAAACTGCAACTGAGGTAAGTGCCCTTAGCGGGAACCGAACCCGGGACTCTCCGGTCCGCGGGCCGATGCTCTAACCGCTGAGCCAAACTGGCCATGAACACCTTTATTTATTTATTTATTTTTTATCCTCACCTGGGGACATTTTTCTATTTTTTGTTCAGGTAGAGTGGGAGGGGGAGAGAGGAAGAGAGAGAAACATCGATGTGAAAGGGACACATCGAGTGGCTGCCACCCGCACGACCAGCCAGGGCCGGGGACGAACTGCAACCGAGGTACATGCCCTTAGCGGGAACCGAACCCGGGTCTCTCGGGACCGCAGGCCGACGCTCTAACCGCTGAGCCAAACCGGCCAGGGCTGAACACCTTTAAACAAAGCACTCTGTGAAGGCTGTTTCTCCCTCTACCACTGCATATCCCACCCCTCTTCCTTTTCAATCCAAGTTTATTCACTCATCTAACAGACATATTGGATAGCTTCACTAGACACTAGTGAAGGAGGCATAGTCCCTGCCTCAGTGAGCTCAGAATCTTCACCTCTGTCTCTATTTCAGCCACTTACACATGGCAGCCATCCTGCCCCTCTGTCAGATTAGCCCAGGCAGAGGCTATCAACAAGTTCCCAAAAGCCAAACCCAGTGGACTTCTTTTCATTTTATCTCACTTGACTGTGTTAACCAATCAATCTTTTTCTTCTGTATGCTCTGTTCCTTTGGCTTCCATGAAGATCTCTCTCATCCCTCTCTTCCTTCTCTGACTAGCTCTTCATTTCTTTCCTAACTCCTGCTGTACACCTTAAGTTGATGATAACCAGGGTTCTGTTTTTGGTCTCCTCAGAATACTTTGTAAGCTTGTCTTGGACAATGTCATCCACCTCCATGGTTTCAGGATCCATCAATAAAATGACATAATTCTGGGTGGGTCTCCAATCCAGACTGCTTTCCTGAGCACATAGCCAATATGCTATGGATGTTCCCAAATGTCTTAGACCAACATGTCCCACATGAACCTACAATCTTCTCCCTACCCTCCATGAATTACCCCCTCTTGTATCTTCCAGGTCAGAGAATAACAGACAGCAGAGCTAGAAACGTAGGGGTCATCCTTTCCCTCACTTCTACACCAACTTTATGATCAGGTCTGTGCCTATCTGCGCCCACATTTGCCTCTGCCTTGGTTCACACCCTCATTATCTCAGACCAAGACAACTGCAGTAACCTCCTGGCTGACCTCCTGCCTCCTGTCTCATTACCCTCATCCAGTCCTCACAATACAGCCAAACTGAGTTTTCTTTCTTTTTTTTTTTTTCTTTTTTTTTTGTACGTGCCCCTAGCGGGAACCAAACCCGAGACTCTCTGGTCCACAGGCCGACGCTCCAACCACTGAGCCAAACTGGCCAGGGCCAAACTGAGATTTCTAGAATGCCAACTGGTCTACCACATTCCTCTTAAATATCATTTTACTGCCTTCAAGGTGATGTCCTTATCATGACGTAACTCCAGGACCAGGGCCCTGGTTCTTTTCTCAGTTGTCAGTTCCTCCCACTCATCCATTCTCCTTCTCCATTTCTTACCCCCTGCTTCCCACTACCCAGAAATACCTGCTCATCTTGGAAAGAACAATGCTATCCAAGTAGAATTGGTCACAGATGTCTTATGCCCCTTTACCCTGCCAGGGTACCTCATATATTTATAGTAACTCGAGAATAAGACCCCTATTTCATCTATTTCTGTTTCTGCAGATCCTTGGTCATGGAAAGTACTCTGTAAGCCATGGCCAGGTAGCTCAGTTAGAGCATCATCCTGATATGCCAAGGTTCTGGGTTCCATCCCCAGTCAGGGCACATACAATGATGGCCAGCCAGTATGGCTCAGTGGTTGAGCATCGACCCATGGACCAAGAGGTCACTGGTTCGATTCATGGTCAGGGCACATACCCAGGTTGCAGGCTTGATCGGCAGGAGGCAGTCGATCGATGTTTCTCTCGATGTTTCTATCTTTCTCTCCCTCTTTCTCTAAAAATCAATAAAAATATTTTTTTAAATATTTTCTTTGATTTTAGAGAGAGGGGAACAGTGAGAGAGAGAGAGAGAAACATTGATGAGAGAGAACATCAATTGGCCGCGTCCTGCAGGCCCACAACTTGGGCATGTGCCCTGACCAGGAATTGAACTGGCGACCTCTTGGTGCATGGGTCGATGCTCAACCACTGAGCCAGACCAACCGGGCAAAAAAAATATTTTTTTTAAAAAGAGTCAACTGCCGTGGCCGGTTTGGCTCAGCAGTTAGAGCCTGCAGTCCAGAGAGACCGAGGTTCGGTTCCCACTAAGGGCGCGTACCTCGGTTGCAGTTTGTTCCCGGCACTGGTTGGTCATGCGGGTGGCAACCACTCCATGTGTCCCTTTCATGTCGATGTTTCTCTCACTCTCTCTCCCTCCCACTCTATCTGAATAAAAAATAGAAAAATGTCCTCAGGTGAGGATTAAAAAAATAAGTCAACCACCCTGGCCGGTTATGCTCAGCGGTTAGAGCGTCGGCCTGCAGTCCAGAGAGGCCCGGGTTTGGTTCCCACTAAGGGCACGTACCTCGGTTGCAGTTTGTCCCAGGCCCTGGTTGGGGTCGTGTGGGTGGCAACCACTCGATGTATCTCTCTCACATCGATGTTTCTCGCTCTCTCTTCCACCCTCTCTCTCTCCAGCTCTATCTAAAGATAAATGCAAAAATGTCCTTGAGTGAGAATGAAAAAAAAGAGTCAACCAATGAATGCATATATAAGTGGAACAACAAATCGATATTCTCTCTTTCTCCCTTCCTCTCTCAATAAATAAAAAATATTATTTTTTAAATCCTCACCCTAGGAGAGAGAGAAACATCAATGTGAGAGAAACACATTGATTGGTTGCCTCCCACATGACTCCGACCAGGGCCAGGGACCAAACTGCAACCAATGTATGTGCTCTTGACAGGAATCGAACCTGTGACTCTTTGGTCCATGTATTGATACTCTAACTGCTGAGCCAAACCAGCCAGGGCAAAAGTATTTTTTTTTAAAGAGCCCCAGCTGCCCTCATTTTGCTCAGCGGTTAGAGCGTCGGCCTGCGGTCCAGAGAGACCCGGATTCAGTTCCTGCTAGGGGCATATACCTCGGTTGCAGTTTGTCCCCGGCCCTGGTTGGTCCTGTGGGTGGCAGCCACTCGATGTGTCCCTTTCACGTTGATGTTTCTCTCTCTCTCTGTCTCTGCCTCTCTCTCCCTCCCACTCTACCTGAACAAAAAATGGAAAATGTCCTCGGTTGAGAATAATAATAATAATAATAAAATAAAAGAGGCCCAGCTGGGTGGCTCATTTGGTTGGAGTATCATCCCATACACCAAAAAGGGTCAGGTTGGATCCCGGGTCGGAACATGTATGGGAGGCAACCGATTAATGTTTCTCTCTCACATTGATATTTCTCTCTCTCTTCCTTCCTCTCTCTCTAAAAAAATATCAATAAACATATCCTCGGGTGAGGGTTAAAAGAAAAAAGTACTCAATAAATGTTGGTTGATTGAATAAATACATGACTAGAGTAGAAAAGAGCCACAAAGAAGCCCTGGCCAGTTTGGCTCAGCGGTTAGAGCGTTGGCCTGCGGTCCGGAGAGACCCGGGTTCGGTTCCCGCTAAGGGCATGTACTCCGGTTGCAGTTTGTCCCCGGCCCTGGTTGGTCGTGCGGGTGGCAGCCACTCGATGTGTCCCTTCACATCGATGTTTCTCTCTCTCTCTCCCTTCCTCTCTCTCCCTCCCACTCTATCTGTACAAAAAATGGAAAAATATCCTCGGGTGAGGATAAAAAAAAAAAAAAAAAAGAGCCACAAAGAAGCTATGGCAGTGGAGATTCTGCTCAGGGTTCAAACTTGGAAACTTTTCTGAGGAAAGAGAATTGACCCAGAATGAGCATCTTCACAGTGTTAAGCACTGTGCTGAGCTTTTAAAATATGCCTTTGGGCCCTGGCCAGTTTGGCTCAGCGGTTGGAGCATTGGCCTGGGGACCAGAGAGTCCAGGGTTTGGTTCCTGCTGGGGCACGTACCAAAAGAAAAAAAAAAAAATGCCTTTGAGACCCAGTACCCCATGGCTCAGTGATGTGTAGCCCTTCCCTTCGGAGATCTCCACCACACACCCCCTTTTCTGTAAATAAACCCAATTTTTCTTTAAAAAAAAATAAAATATGCCTTTGAGTGTAGATGCTCACCACAGCCCATTCTATGGATGGGGACACAAAGACTCAGAATAAGTAAGTTGTCCAAAGACACAAATTAATAGATGGTAGAGTAGGATTCAAATCCAGTCTTCCTGGCTTCATATTCTGTGGTCTTTCAGCCATTTATTTGGGATTCTTATCCAAAACCTGTCCTACACCTGCTTAACTCTAACACAGCCAATTCCCCATCCTCTGGTTTTACCCAATCCTGACTTCCACAGCCTCTTTTATTCAGCCTGGACCTAAGGTTAAGCCAGAGGGCCCTGAGCCAGGGTCAGGATTCAAACTCTGCTTTGGCTGAATCCACTTTCCTTGATCTCTCCAGAGTCACCATGAAAAAGGTCTGTATGCGGGGTCCACTAACTTCCTCCAAGTCCCTAAAAGCCTTGACAATCATAAGTGTTTGCCAAGGTGTGGGATTTAGTAACTCTCCTCAAATCTGAGGAAAGCAGTCTACTTTCCAGTTTCGCAGACAGAACGAGAGAGCTCCGACGAGGGCGGGGCGGGGGCGGGGAGACTTCGTAATGAATGAGGAGGGCTGTAGCTGGAAAGGAAGATGTTTGTGGTCTCTCTCGGTAGGACATTAATTAAGGCGCAGGGACCTACTCAGAACTCACAGGTAATGCTCATTTGTACAGAATCCTCCCAGTCCTGCGGGCCGAGGAGTTACCCCGGCCTTGCAGCACAGGCGGTAGGGTTCCAGGTTGGACACCAGGACAAATGAATGAGGGAGGGAGGGAAGGAAAGTGAGAGGGAGAAAGGAAGGGAGGGACAACCCAAAGAAGGGAAGGAGGGAAGAGGAGGGAGCAAGGCAGGCGCAGTGTGCACGGGTTCCCTTGGAAATGCCGCCCTGGCCCCACCCACATCTGTAGGCGATTGTGATGTCACTCGAGGAACCTCCAGACTCCTTCCCCTCAGAGTCAATAGAACCGCCCGCCCAAGCCCCGGCGACAGGGTGGACGCTGGATCATGGGTTCCAGCCAGGCCCCGCACTAATTGGGCGACTGCCTGGGCCCCAAGCTGCTGCAATGTGATGCCTGCCAGCAGTACAAACAGGAGTTACAGCCCTACTCCAACCAAACCCGGAGGTTCTTCAGGGCCTCAGGACCCCAGTCCTCAATCATTGGTCCGCGGCTCGACGTGAGCCCGCCCCAGGCTCTAACTCCGCCCCAGCCCAGCCTTTGGCCCCGCCTCCCTTGTCAGGTTCACCGGTTCTACAGCCTCCTCGGGTCTTCAGGCCAGCCCTCGTGCGGCGACCGCAGCTCGAAGCCCTCCCCTAATCTTCGGCCCCGCCCCCTCCTTACCACTGCTGCTCTCATCTTCCTCAGTCTTTTTCTTGATCCACCTTTCAATCGTCATTGTCGTCCTGACCCACATCGCTCTCAGCCCAGTTCTTCCTCTCTACACGACTCTTCCTCACAGAAGTCCAATCCTGAACCTCAGTTTGGCCGAGCCCACTGTAAACCCCAATCTCAGCTTCTCCCCTGCCCAGCCCTCAACTCCGCCTCATGCTTGACCAACCCCTCCACCCACCTCCTCCCGCCCCCGTTCTGAGCTGCGCTGTCTTCTCAGCCCAAGTCTAAGCTTTAGCCGCGCTCTTCATCCGGGGCACCCAGCGCCTTCAAGGCTCTTCCCTCTTTGTTCTACTTTAACCTTAGTACCTCACCTTTATCTCGGGCTTAAACCTTAGCTCGGCCGCTCAGGCCCATCCCTAGTTCCTCTCCAGATCTACCCCCAGCTCTTAACTCTATCCCCCCCACCCCCAGACTTTAGCCCCGCCCCTAGCCCCGTTCTTAGCCCCGCCCCATCCATTCTCTCAACCTCACACTTCGGCCTGCTCCTGGCCCCTCCCAATCCCTTCCGAACCTTGCGGCGGCCCTTAGCCCCGCCCCCAATCTACGCGTGAACCTCTCCCGCCGGTTTAGGGAGGGACAGCGTTCAACCTCCAGCCCACCATCCCGGCTCTTCTGAGGATCTTTCTGCCCCGGCGAAGGGCCAGGTACACTAGCTCCCTCTCTGCCCGCGGGCTCCTCAGATGAGAACTTGCGGTCCTTTTCCAGCCGCCCTGTGGCGCTCACCCTCAGAACCCCTTACCAGTATTCCCTTCTAGCCCCCATGGCATACCTTGACCCAGAGAAATACTGTCCAATAAAGATGTTAACATATAGCTAGGGTCTTGGTGTTTCCCAGAAGTCATACTAGTTAAGGTTTTTAAACTCTTCCTAAGTGTTAGTGTTTTATCTTCTTTCAGTCATTCAATCTTATGTATCTCCACAGGCTTGCCCAGTGCTGGGAGCAGGATCCACTCCATTCATAGTAACCTACTACACACATCCCTTCTCACCGTGCACTCCTCACACCCTTAAGTATAGTATGCACATTTACATGCTTGCATCACACACGTAGAATGCATTTAAAAATCTGCTCACCACACAAGACTAATACAGCATGGCACACACTCCTCACAGAAGCTCCCCAGAACACAGAACCATACACCTGCTTCCCAAATTTTACTCAGCACAAACACTCCACTACAGTGTTGTGGTGCAGACTTCACACACACACTGAATTAGTGACGCTGTGCAAGGCAAAGATTGATAAGCACAGTCCTATGAGGGCACAAGGATAAAAACAATTCCACAAGAGAGTGAAAAAATGTTACAGCCCTTGAGCCAACATTCCACATATCACACCCCTCAATTTCTCTTGGCATCAGGCTGCAAAAGCCAGGATATGCCTCAAAGGATGGAAAGGAAAGGATGGTATTTAAACTTTGTTTTCTCCAAAGAAACCAAGGGCCTCTCCTGCTGCTGCTCTCTGTGTGATGCCAACCTTTACTTTCCTCTAGATCCAGCCACCTGACTGGGTAGGGCCGCTGCCCAGAACCTTCAGCACTAGGAACAGCAGGGGAGGGGAAACCAGGAGAAAGGGGAATGTGTAGAAAAGCTAGCCCTCCCAGCACAGAGTGGCTGGGTGAGAATGAAACCAGCCATAGAATGGACAGAGCACTTGTTGACTGGGAGCCAGGATCTGTGTTCTAATCCTGCCCCCCGGTGACCTCCCAGGGTGGCACCAGGCCACAGGTCCCTCCACTATCAGTCCAGATGTCTGAGATACTTCCATCAGATCTATAGCTCTGGGTCAGATGTCAACAATGAGTTGGGTTCTTGGTCACTCTTCCTGTAAATAGTTATAATAGTTAAGGTTTTTCTCAGCTCTTCCTATGTATATGTTAGTGCTTTATCTTATTTCATCCATGAAAACTCATTATTATTAGCCTCATTTTACAAATGAGGAAATTGAGGTACAGAGGATAAGTGATCTGCCTGAGTATCCTAGGAGGGACAATGAGGATTCAAGTGCAAGTCCTCCTTAGAGTATGTTGGCTTTTGTTTTTTTTAATTTTTTTTTTCTTTATTGATGTTAGAGACAGAGAGGAAGGGAGAGGGAGAGACAGATAGAAACATCAATGAGAGAGAACATCAACTGGCCGCCTCCTGCATGCCCCCCACGGGGAATTTGGCCCACAACCTGGGCATGTACCCTGATCGGGAATTGAACCGGCGACCTCTTGGTGCATGGGTTAACACTCAACCACTGAGCCACACCGGCTGGGCTGTTTTTTTTGTTTTTTTTTTTAAGAGGAAAAAATATACATCTTATTTTTTTTAATTCAACTTAGTTCTTTAGTCATGTTTTAAAATGCAAAAAGAGCCCTGGCCAGTTTGGCTCAGCGGTTGGAGCCTTGGCCTGTGGACCAGAGAGTCCTGGGTTTGGTTCCCGCTAGGGGCACGTACCAAAAAATAAATTGTAATAGAATCCATGTGACATCAAGTTTAAAAAAAAAAAAAAGTAAAAAGATACCCTCATCATTTTATGTTTATAGCCCTAATATAGTTATATGTTACATAACATATCTTCTAAATAAGAGCCCAGCCCCTGCCTTCCCTGGGCCTTCTGGTCAACCCAAAAAATATCCAAAACTCAGTCATTTCTCACTGTGTTCCTCTCAGAGAAGTATTTTTAAAAGGGAAGGCAGGATGAGGATATGCAAAAGAAGAATATTATCCAATCGTGGAAATTTGAGTATAAGCATCAAGTAGGAGTACACATTTTAGGGGAAGGGACCAAAGAAAAGGATTCTCAAAGCCAGTATTTCAGATCTCACACAGTGAGAGTGCAGCAACCCCTCGCAAACCTGGTTCCTGAGCTCCCAGGCTGCCTGAGGCCTGCGCAGGGGCCAGGGCTGGCCAGCATCCCAGCAGGATCACCGTACAGCCCTGCCCAGTCCCTATCCCTCATCTCCAACAAAGGACTCCAACCCCTAAACTGCTAATAACAGAGATTTTAATGCATAAGGCACAGTGTGAAGCTGGATCACTAAGCATCCTCATACCCAAAGGGCCCAGCAGGCTGAGCAATAGCAGCAGAGACCACCTCCCCACCACTGGGCAACCTGGAAAGCCCCTGGAGGAAGGGGGCATGCAGTCTTTGGTATGGTGCCTAGGGAGAGGAAGTGACAAGCATGGTCCCAACTACCCCTCTGGGGGTACAGCTCTTTGGTCTGAAATAACAGTCAGTGCAGACATCCAGGGGTAGAGTTCTGGGGGAGTCAAGGTAGCACTGTGCCCCAGGGCTGGGCAATCCCTCATCCCTCATAAGCAACATGTGGGCTTCTTCTTGCTGGCAGTTAGGTAGAGGTTGTTGTCATCGCTGTTGATGCCTGAAGAAAAGAGGGAAATATGTGAAGCAGAGATTGGAGGTTGCCCATGCTCTTTGCCACCCTCATCCAGGTGGGCACTCACGAACAACATCCCCAATGCGCCGGGCCCCCGATTTCTCCAGCTCAGCTAGCACATTGGCCTCAAAGGTCAGTGCTGCCACACGGAAAAAGAATTCTCGGACATTTTCACCTGACAAAGGGAACAGATGGGTGCTTAGGGGCAGTTCCAGGCCTGGGGTCACTGGGCACAGCTGGAGTTATAGGAGTGAGAGGCAAGGTAGGCAGGAATGTCACAGCAAAAGGAAGAAAGCCTCTTACCAGTGAGAGATGACACTGCCCAGTACTCAGCCTTCATCTCTTGGGCCACCTTGATTGCATCTCTCTCCATTAGCACATACTGAGCAGGAGTCTGAAGGAAAGTCAGAGTCAGATGGGAGGGTTCCTTCACCAAGTTGGGAAGTACCCCCACTGGCACACTCACACTCAGGTCTTTCTTGGAACCCACAAGGAAGAGAAGCACACTGGAAGGGTCGTTCTCCTTGAGCGCATCAGCTAGCCACTGCCTGCCACAGATGGTGGACAGCAAGAGATGAGTTGGGCAGGCTCTGTTCTCTGACACTCATATGCCCAATTATCCCCTCTGCTTCTAGATGCACTCTTCCCTTCTCTACCATGCCCCTGACCACCCCTCTTTTCTGAACCCTCTCTTCCCAGAGCCCCCATATATTTCAGTACCCCACATACTTGGTATGTTCCAGAGAGGCGACATCATTCAGGTTGAAGACAATGATGATGGCTGAAATAGCGACAGAAACAGTCTCAGGTTGATGGAGAGACATTACTGGCTCACTGCCACAGCCCTAGATTAGAAGCACCCACGAACCCCACTTCACCTTACCTTGAGCTCCTCGGTAGTAGGTTGATGCAATGCATTTGAATCTTTCCTGTCCAGCGGTATCCCAGCTGGGAGGAACGAGGGGTGAAACAGAGGTATGGGGATGGGGGAATGGGTAGGTGGAATGCAGGTGTTAGAGAAAGAAATTGCTGGAAGAGGTAGAGAAAGAAACACTTACAGTTGTAGACTGAAGGGGATGCCCAACACTTCAAATCGTTCCATCTCAAAGTCCACACCAATTGTGGCCTTGTAATTCTTATCAAAGGTGTCTTTGCAGAACCTGAAGTGGAACCAGATGCACGGGCCCTGAGCCCAGCCCATCTGGCTAGGCCTGGCCCTATCCTGCCCAGCCCAACCCAGCTCAGTACCAGCACCCTCTTACCTATTAATGAGACAAGTCTTCCCCACTGACAGGTCTCCCACCACAATGACCTTAGAGATCTTAAATCTGCTGGACACAAGAGGAAGCAAGAGTGGGCACTAGTTCTTTCACTCTAGGGAGTCCCAATGTTCCCTAATAAGTCTACAAAGGTAGCCGTACCCAGGCTGTGGTTGCCATAGATACCAGGCATCTGCTGGCCAAGAGTGTTTTGTGTTTCAGTATCAAAAAGACATGAATTTGAATCCCAGCTCTCACATTTACTCACTGTGTGACTTAGGATGAGTTCCTTAGCCTCTCTCTCTCTCAGTTTCAACATTTAAGTAGCGATTTAGAATATATTTTATTGGGTTGTTGTGAAGGTTAAAATGAGATAAATGTTCTATATTCTGAACCGAACCCGGGCCTCTCTGGACCGCAGGCTGACGCTCTAACCGGTGAGCCAAACCGGCCGGGGCAAGGCAAAAAAATTTTTTTTAAAAAGTGGCAACTGTTATTAGTATCCCCCCCCTTTTTTTTAATAAGGCTCCTTTTTAATTTTTTAATTAATTTATTATTTTCTAGAAAGAAAGAGAAAGGGAAAGGGATAGAGAGAAACATCGACTGACTGCCTGGCCCCTACTGGAGATCAAGCCGGCAACCGGGGCATATGCCCTGACCAGGAATCGAACCCGTGACTTCTTGGTCCATGGGTCGATGTTCAACCACTGAGCCATACTGGCTGAGCACTGGTATTCCCTTTTTACCCACAACTGGACTCACAGATGTAGGTACAGACCCCCCCAACCCCGCCCTGGGGCTCAAAAGGATTGTATTTGGGAAGCTGAGCTGAGGACAACCCCCTTCTCTGTGTCAGAAACTGAACTGTCATTTTTCTAGCCAATCCCGTCTCATTAGATTCACCTGCTGGAAATAAAGGGGTCAACACAGGGACATAAAAAGGTGGAATAACCATATAACTGGCAGAGGGTGCAATGTAGACCCAAGCGGGTGGACATTACCATTGCTTTGACTAGAGTTTCCTGGGGCTTGCTTTCTTTGTTTTGGGCGTCTCCAACTCACCCCACGGTGCCTGTCCGGTGCTCCTGGCAGGCGCAGGTGACCCGGGGGTGGAAGTCTTTGTGCACGTGCAAAGCGGCCTCCTTCCTCAGGTACTGACAGGGAAGGAGGAGAATGAGACTCACCCACTCCTAGCCCTTGTCCTGCAGCCAAATAGCTAGGGGCTAGGGTGGGGAGGGGACCACCCAGAAGCAGCAGGCCTAGCTGGGCGGCAAGGCTGGGCCCAAGCCTCTGGTCTGGTGCCGCCTCCTCCCCGCCCATACACCACCGCAGCCAGAAGCCCGACGTGGCCCTAACGCCTACCTGGGGCAGCTCCGCTAGGACGCGGTCCCTCCGCACCGGCGCCAGAATGTTCATCTTGCCTGCAGCCTTGTCGAGCGCCCTGAGAAGGCGCCGAGGCCTGATCCGCCCCAGCGACCCGGGCCCGTGGAGACCCGACAATCACCCGCGACCGAGGAGTCCCGACTATAACTCGGGGCCACTGGGAACCTACGGGAGCCCGCGGCCTCGGGGACGCTACGACCACCGCGGGCCACGGGGATGAGACAATCACCCGGGGCTGGGGTGAGCCCACAATCACCCGGGCCCGGGGCGTCCCGAAGACGACTCGGGGTCGAGGAGACCCCTCGACCGCCAAATGGGGGCGGGGAGTCCCGTCCCGGGGATCCCGGGCCCGCGCAGACCCTACAATAACTCGGGGCCGAATAGTTCCTACAATAACTCGAGGCCGCGGAGACCCGACGTCAACTCGGGGTTGAGGCGGCCCCACCATAACACAGTGGTCCGGGGGCTTGAAGCGGCCCCACCACACCGGGTCAGTGTGGGTAGGGGCAGCGCTGCGAGGCCCGCAAACTGCTGGAGGAGGGGGCCAGGGGCCCAGTCCGCTGCAGAGCCCCGCGTCCCACTCGACTCTCCCTCCTCGAGCGCTGTAACTTGATCCCCGGAAATTCCTGGAGAAGGGCCGCCCCCTGCCCCTCTCCCGGCAGCTCCCGGTCTCTCAGTCAGCCCGGGACTCCCCATCCTCTCCTCCACCGCTCTGTCCTAGCTTAGACTCCCCCGCCAGACGCCTCTTCGGGGACCAAGACCGCCCCCACCCAGGCTGGAACCTGCCCAGATAGGGATTCCCCAGGTTGCTCTGCCCTGCACCTCTGTGCCAGGCTGCGCCTCCACAGGGACCCTTACCCAGCCGAATTGGTGATGGGGAATCGGTGATTGCGCAGCATGTGGCTGCGCCAGGACCGGCGGGGAGGGGTAAGGGGGAGAGAAGGGGCCCAAGGAGAGGCGGTGCTTCCCTCCTCAACTCCAGGCCCAGGACGTGACTCATAGAGTCTGCCCCCGCTCGCCTTTCAGCCCTGGGAGGTGAGGGGGGGAGCGTAGAGGGGATGCCAGAGGCGGAGCTGGATGCCCACCTTGGAGATAGCCGACCGAGGTCTAGGGTCTTCTCCTCGAAGGTTACCGTGTAGGTTGAGGGGTGAGGTGGCTGAAGACCAAGCCGCCTCCTCGAGGGAAGATAAAGGAGGGCTAGATGGACCGGGAATTCCGCCCTTTGAGGAAGTCACTGCTTTGGAACATGGGGACTCACCTCGGGTATGGGCGTTCTTCGAATCGATCCCTTTGCAATCTTCCCAAGGACAACTTTTCCATTTTGCAGTTCTGCAAGATAGAATCAGTAGCACACAACAAATCTCACCGTCAAAGGGGAAATCAGGTTCCAAGAGGCGAGAGAGAAAATAGAAAGGGAGGGGGTGAAGGCAGGGTAGACACCGATCCTCAGAGAAGCAAACTAGAGTTTACCAAACTTTTCTGTGTCCGGAACGGAATTTGAGGATGCAAAGATGACTGGGACAGGGACGGGATTGTGAATGGAATTATTCACAAGAAGAACTAGCGAATGCTGGAGAAATCTATGCGCTGGGTTTGGAATATTGCTAGAGTTTCTTCAAGGATCTTGTCGGGAAAACACAAGAAATCTGTCATAGGTCAACAGGGGAGGTTTGGCCACCTTCTGCCTCCTCTGGTACTTTCCTCCTCCACTCCGCTTGACTCGATTTTATTTATTTTTTGCCTCCAAATCACCGTTATTGATAAGCCACGTATCCTTTTGGGACCTCAATTTCCACAAATGTTGTTTGAGGGAGTTGGGCCTGACAAATTCTGCTCTAGCTTTCTAAAACTTTGCCTCACTCTCCCAGAGTTAACCTAATTATTCCCATTACAGTTTGCAATGTTACTGTCTCCTGGAATTGCAATCCTTTTCCCTGAAGTTGCTCAAGATGACACGCCCTCTGGGCCAGACGCGAGTGGCACACCATCCACACGCCGCAGCAGATAAACACGTCTCAAAAAAACTACAACCCCCAAGAAGCTTTAGGCTCTTGCGAGGGGAGGGTTGGCGCATGCTTAATCCCTCTCTCGAGGAAGTTAAACCTAACTACTATTCCCGGTGGGCGCCGCGCTGCAGGTCATCCAATCAGCTTTAAGTATAAAACATCGCGAGTCTTCGGTGCTACTTGGCTCTATAAGCCCGTGTGAACAGGTCTCGGAAACCCTTTTTAAGAAGATGGCGCCGAAGGCGAAGAAGGAAGGTGTGTACTGGGACTTGGGGGGAACACAGCTGGCTGGCCTGGGATCCCCGCAGAGTGAACGAACTGAAAGGACAGTGGCTGAGTTAAGACTTGGGGTGTCAGCTCCCGAGCTGCTCCTCCCGTTTCGGTTACGAGGGGGTGCGCGTGTGCTCAGCCGCATGGACTGGGCTCCAGTTGAAGGGGGTTGGGGAAGGAGCCGACAGCCAGATAGTCGACTGTGGGGAGCTACAGACCTGCAAGGAATCAGTACCCTCAACTTTACTTCCTTTACTTTTTTTATTTAACTCCTTATAGGCGGCTATATACCCTCTCGGGTGGCTGTGTGATGTTATATATAAAACTACTAGCACGCATCCTGGCAAATGTCAATCGTTCGGTCTTTGCTAGTTACTTTTATTCCATGTCGTATCCCTGGAGTTACTCCAAGTTTGCCCCAGTATCGTGCATATGATGGAAAAACTTTAACCTGAGACTTGTGATGTCTTCAAAGGAACCACTGATGCACATGTGGCTTGAGGCGCTCACTACCCTTCTTGAGGCCGGAAGTGATCATTTCTTAATCCCGCACGCTCATTGTCTTTCCTTCTCTCAGCCCCTGCCCCTCCTAAAGCCGAAGCCAAAGCAAAGGCTTTGAAGGCAAAGAAAGCAGTGCTGAAAGGCGTCCACAGCCACAAAAAAAAGAAGATCCGCACGTCACCCACCTTTCGTCGGCCTAAGACACTGAGGCTCCGAAGGCAGCCTAAATATCCTCGGAAGAGCGCACCCAGGAGAAACAAGTCAGTACTGCCCCATCACCCCCTCCACACACACCTCCTCTTCCAGATTATAAGAGAAGGTTTATTTAGAAAGTTACAGAGGTAGTAGAAGTGAGTCAGCCGGGCTGTGTACGCCCAGGAAACAAGTTGTAGAGGCAGGATAAGGGCCCTTGGAGTTCAGGAGAGAGAAGGGCAAAGGTTACCCCTTGAGGGGAGCAGGAAGGGGAAAGGAATGATGAGGGCCATACTCTTGAAAAGATATTGGAGCCCAGTGGGTGTGGCTATTAACTTGAGCATCCTCCCAGGCACCAGGTCACTGGTTTGATTGTGGTCAGAGCACATGCCCAGGTTTCAGGCTCCATCCCCAGTAGTGGGCGGGTGGGAAGCAACCCATGGATGTTTCTCCCTTCCTCATTCTGAACCCAATAAAAACATTATTTATTATTATTTCTTAAATCCTCACCGAGGATATTTTTCCATTTATTTTCAGATAGAGTGGGAGGGAGGGGTGAAGAGAGAGAGGCAACCAAGGTATAAGGTACATATCCTTGACCAGAATCGAACCTGAGACTTTTTTGTTTTGTGGACCCATGCTCTAACCATTAAGCCAAACTGGCCAGGGCCCAAATAAAAACATATTTAAAGAAAGAAGGGAAAAAAAAGATGTTTAGGTATCCTTCATTGGTAATTATCAAATTTGCCAAACATAGAGCATGGCTTCTCAAAGTCTACTTTTTTGGAATTATGAAGTAGGACTTAGATGTTCTTTGTTTTGGTGCTCCAGGTTAGTTCGTTTCTCATAGCACCTATTGCTGTAGTGTAGGGTGTAATCCTGGAGAGTGAGGATGTGGGATGATTCTAGGTTGATAAGGGAGATGCATTCCTCTGTATTGGAGGATGAAGGCCTGCAACAGTGTATGGAAACTGCTGTTCATTCACTCCTAAATTTTTACATTCAGGTAATGGTTAGGGAGAAATGGGCAAAATGTTAGGGTACTTGAGTATTTTGGTGTCATGCTGATGTTAATAACTGACCTCTTAGGAACCACAGATTAGAGTAGAGCCATGGTGGTGGAAATGAATGGGTTTCTACGCCACCCACTGCTTCCTAAGAAAAAGGCAGGCAAGTGGGTTTTGTCTGGCTGTGAAGGAAAGAACTTGACAGGCTTTTACCCCCCATTAGGACCTGGTATTTAGTGTAATGAGAGGTTGAGACCTGACCTATAGCTTCAAAATGGGATGATAGTGTCCATGTGAATAGAGTCTTGCTTCTTTTAATTTCAGGGGGGATACTGTGTTGCAGGTGTGTTGAAGCCACTGGAGGTTTAACCTGAGCTGTAAATAAAAAATTGATTTTAAGAATTGATGGCCCACCCCCAGCCAGTGTGGCTCAGTGGTTGAGCGTCAGCCCAAGCACCAACGGGTCATTGGTTCGGTTCCTGGTCAGGGCACATGCCCAGGTTGTGGGCCAAATCCTCAGTTGGGGGGATGCAGGAGGTATCCAATTGATGTTACTGCTCGTTGATGTTTCTCTCTTCTCCCTTCCTCTCTCTCTAAAGTCAATAACGAAAAAAATAAACTCTTACAAGTTTTTATTTTAAAAAGCCCTGCCAGTGTGGCTCAGGGGTTGAGCATTGACTCATGCACTAAGAAGTCGCCAGATCGATTCCCAGTCAGGGCACATGCCCAGGCTGTGGGCCCAATCTCCCAGTGAGGCATGCAGGAGGTGGCCAATCGATGTTTCTCCCTTCTCCCTCCCTCTCTAAAATCAATCAAGGAAAAAAAGAAAAGAATTGATGGCCCACAAGCCAGTTTTCAGCGACCAAAGAGGGTAGAAATAGCCCGCCCAGCCTCCTAGTGAAGTGCCATCATTCTTTGGAACTATATAACCTGAGTTTCAAGATGTTGTATTCTAGTTTTGTGCTCTTCGGTTTTAATTTCTCAAGTCTTCAATTTTATCCAGAAACATGCCCTTCAGAAATGTTGAGGATAAATAAAGAATGAAAGGGTTTGGGACTAAAAGATGATTCTTTAATTACTTAAAGGGTAAAAGCCCTTCAAGTGAAAGAGCACATGGTTTTGCTCCCAGGCTGAGGCTCTGGGTTCTTAGGTTTCAGGGTGCAAGTGATGACACTGTTCAGCGACCAAAGTCTGACAAAAGTGATTGCTATTCATCGTCTGATGCACCTGGGCTCCAAAAGAAGGCTCATCATTTCTTCTACTGGGCTCAGGTGACCCCATTTTACCTCCCCCAGGCTTGACCACTATGCCATCATCAAATTCCCCCTGACTACTGAGTCAGCTATGAAGAAGATAGAAGACAACAATACACTTGTGTTCATTGTGGATGTCAAAGCCAACAAACACCAGATCAAACAGGCTGTGAAGAAGCTCTATGACATTGATGTGGCCAAGGTCAACACCCTGATCAGGTGAGGGGGGGACCCGTGGGCTGGGGCCTCAGTCAGAAGCCAGGAAATCTGAACGGCATAGGATTCCTTGATGCTGGGGTCAGAAGTAGGTTTCAGAGTTCAAACCTTGAGAAATGAGCAGCCCCTGCTGTCCTTTGTATGGTGTGGGGACTTTTGAGGAATCAACAGCTGTCCTGCCTCTAGGACTTGATTTATGGGGTTGATGCTCATTTTCTCGATCCCTATCTTTAGACAGAGGCTGGCCCTAGAGTAAGAGAAAGTTTATGTCAGATTACCTGGACTTAAATGTCCTGTGGTGTTTCCCATAAAAGGGATTTGGCTTTGTAGCCTAGTAGCTTCCCTAGCTTCTGCAGATGTCAGGGAAAAAAGCACTATTTGGAAAAGAATGACATGAACAAAGGAACCCCTGGTGCATTAGAAGACTGGGAGGAGGGTATGGGGGCAGTGAAGGCAGCAGGGACTAAGGCTGCCTTTTCTACCCTAGGCCTGATGGCGAGAAGAAAGCATATGTTCGACTGGCTCCTGACTATGATGCTTTGGATGTTGCCAACAAAGTAAGCTTCCTTTGGTACAGAATTCCTTAACACCCACCCCCTGGATGCAAATGATGTGTCTGTTAGTGACCAAAGCCTGACTTTTGCTGATTAGTCTTAACTGACTGACTGCACCCCTCTCCTTGTAGGCCCAACCCTGTGCCCACATTTTGCTTTTTAACCATGACATTCCAGCTTAATCTTCACATTTCAACTTCCAGTAACAAAGCTCCCTTTTGTTTTTCAGATTGGGATCATCTAAACTGAGTCCAGCTGGCTAATTCTAAATATAAAAATTTTACACTGCATTGTTTCTTTATGTTCATTTCTGGTTGGGCTACGGGAGGCCATACTGTGGCATATACACACTGAATAATAATAGTTTGGGCAAGACTCTTGGTCTACTTACCCTTTTGGAACACTCAGCACTATTTCACCACACTTGTTAAAATCCTGGAGATGGGAGCTCAGCAGATATTTGTGGCCCAGACTAGGGTTAGTCTTGACTAGAACAACTAGAATTTGCCTCTCTCATAGGAGTAAGTGAATAAGCAAGAAGTTTTTTAAGAACTCCTTCCTTTATCCCAGGAAGAGGCTTTGCATGAAACCAATACCCAGTTTTCATTAGCATCCATTTCAGGGCAGTGTGGGTTGGATATCTTTCAGGTAGCACCTTGTCCCCACACCTATCACGTCCAACCGGTCTGTCGGCTTCCCTCATCCCTTGCCCAAGAAAGGACAAGGACTTCAGAGGAGTGTTTTCATTAGTGTTTTCAATAGTGGGTGCAGGCTTGAAAAGTGGAGAGGCTGGATGCCCCAGGTCTGGGGCTCTCATCTCAGCTTATGCATGAGGCTGTTAATTGGCTATTTGCTGTCCTTGCCTCAAGTACCAGGCTCTGTGCCTCTCACTCTGTTAAGAACTTGTCTTTCTGTCGTGGGCTGGGTTCACGTTCAGGGCAGAAGTCCGAGCGGAGGAGGCGGGAAAAGTAGATGAGTATCATGATGTCCAGCATGAGCAGGATACCCAGCAGAAAGGTGCCTAGTGTCCTCTGATACGCATATTGCATGAAGAAATGGGTGAGGTAGGCCTGAGGGGCCAGTCGGAAGAGAAAATACATGACCAAGTTGACATACTTATTGATCCTGTAGAGGAGTAGATCCTGGGCATTGTTGATCTTCATCATCATGCGAATGGTGAGGAAGATGTTGCTGACCTCTACCAGCAGTGTTAGGACACCCCCACCTACAAAACTGCTCCAAAAGATGCCTGAAAAGAAGGCACCCATGGCCTAGAGGGCAAAGGTGAAAACAGGTTAGAAAATAGATGCTAAGGCGTTTCTGGAAGTTGGTGTGGGAATATCAAGGCTGTCAGATTATGGGCTGGATCTATTTGCTTTCTTCTGGCAAATGGTTTACAGTGAGTTCACAATTAAATTTTGATCCCTGTGTAGGTTACAGTGTGAGGTACTAAGTGAAGTTATGGATTGCTGGCCTCAAATACTGAACCAAGAGCACACACACATCAGCATCCTAGAATGGGAAGATGTAGGGCACGGTGGGAATTGAGTTAGGAAAAAAACAGGTTCAGAAAGGGCTTGAGACTACGCTTACTAGCAACAAGCCTATACCACACCCCCTGTTTCTCACCATGACATGATGGACCAGGTATTCCCAAGAAGCTCGAGCCTGACGACTAACCACGATGTCCACCGTGTCGTGGATGAAATAACCTAGCAGAGGGATGGGGGAAGAGGTCATGAAGGGGATAAGAGTCTTCTCCCTGTTCCCCCACCTACTTAAATGCTTACTGGGCAAGACTTACCTGCGGAGAAGCAAACGAGGAGATACCCAGAAAGCGACCATGCTGTCTCAATCTCTACCAGCATTTCGGGGGTCTGCCATACACTGAAAAGGAGGGAAGAAGGAAGGCTCTCACCAACCCATTCCCAAGGACCTTTCAACTCCCCTATTACCTTTGCCAGTCCCGGGGGAGTCTGGGCTCGCTCTATTAACTGGGGAGCATGGACGGGCTTGGCTGAAACACAGGTGTCTCCCCTTTCCCAGGTGAGATCCCCCTCCCCTGGGGACGCTGCTGCTCCGGATTGGATAGCCTTCCAGACTGGGAATCATGTGAGACTGCATGGTCTCAGCCTGCCCACGAGTGATGGGGAGAGTAAGGCGGGATCCCCTAGCTACTTTCACTCCCCCCGGTCCTTCACTCACCACAGCAGAGCCCAGATCCCTGACACAATGGAATGGGCGAAGGAGACGAGCAGGTTGTGCCAGCGCCAGGTGCGCAGAGGGTCGGCGCGCACGTGCGCCGGCAGAGGCAGACGACAGAGCGCGCGCCGCAGCGCCCGGAAGGTCAGCGTGGCGCCCAGGAGCAGCAGCAGGGCGGGGTGCAGCAGTGGGGGCATGCTGGCCCTCCCTGCCGTCGGTCTGTCCGCCCTCTAGGCGGCCTCCTCGTGCTGATCGGGGAACGGGGTTCCCTCTCGGGCCAGTCCACCCTGGACGCCTGTCCTGCCAGCCAGCAGCCTCACACAGTTTTTCGCGGAGCCCTTTAGGCCCTTTCGCTCCTCCCGTCCCCTCCCAGCGGGCCTCTGCCCCCGCCCCTAGCCGCCTGCGCCCCCGCCCCGCCCCGTCCGCCTGCCCCGCCCCTCCGGCGCCTCTGCTAAGCGGAGGGCACGAGCTTCATTTCCCTGGGGGCCTCCCGCGCTTCGCCTTTCCCGCAGGACTTCGGGGGCTGTCCTGGAGCGCCGCCGCCGAGGCACCCCTCGTTGGCGCCTCTCAACTGCCGACTCGTTCGCTTGGCCTCATTAACTCGCGTCCCCTCTTTCCCCGGGGCCACCGGCTCCCCGGCTTGGGCGGGTTTTGCGAGAACTCTCTCCACCCTCAACTCCTTTCTTGGCAGAGCTGATAGGATCCATCACACACCCACGACTTTTAAACCCGGGCTCTGGATACGGGTTGGAGCTCCGCCTTAGACAACGATCTCTGCCCTCTCCCTGTTCTTTCACTCGATCACTAGATTCTTCAGGCTAGAGATCGACCTGTTTACCTGCCTCTACAGCGCCCCGCACGGAGTCGGTGCCTAGAAACTACTGACTAATCCATCACCACTCCTCCTCCTAGCCTCCTTTTGGACTTCTGGGGCCAAGCGGCTGTAACAATCTTCCTTCAGACAGTCCCAGCTCTCTTCTCCCGGCACCCTGAAGGCTGGAGCGGGAAAGACCGCCGATTTGTCTAGGCTACTAGGGTGACCCTCTCTCTTCAGGCCAGTGGCCTGGAGCAGTTGCAGCTTGTGGCCACTAGGTGTCAGCCTGTACTCACCGTGGCGTGGGATCTATCCTCCTCCCCCTTCTAAAGAAACAAGGTGGTTGTTTTTGGGGGAGAGTTAGCCAGCTAAACTCTGGCGAACTGAGAAGCGGCTAAGAGCCGTGTGGGGAGTAGGAAGTAGGGGTGGTAAAAGTGAGAGGGGGGGTGGAGGAAAAGAAAGTTGTAGTTAGGGGCGAGGGAAAGGGTGCTGCGAGGAGGAAAAGCCAGAAACCTGAGGCGCCAGAGACAAAGGGGCCGAGAGGTTTGGGTGTTTGTTTTGCCTTCCCTGATGGCGCCAAGGTTACACATTAAACCCTGTGGGGCTCTTGGGTCAACCAAGGCCCCATGGGTTTCTAGGTGAGAGCACGAGTGTCTCAGGTGAGCGGTTTTCCCCCTTTGCGCTTGCACTCTCCCCTTTGCTCACCCAGTAGTTTTGTTTGCCAGCCAACATAGGCCAGAGTCCGAGAGGGGCCCGCCTGAGGCCTTTCTAGTGGTCATTAACACGTGGGCAGGTTTGGGCACCCTTTGGAGTGATGGGATGGGAGCAGAAGATAAACACACATTCTTCACATTCCTCACCCACTCGGAAATAAGGACGCAATCCCTTAGCTAAGCACTATCCTCTTGCTCCTAAACTGAGCTTGTATTGACTCGTGCAGTGCAGGAGGTGCCAGGGAGACATCTGGAATTAAACTGACTTCTGGTCAAAACCCTAAACAACCGTACTAACCTCTGGGCAGAAGCCTAGAACCCATATCGGCCAAACGGCTGTCTTTCCTCATCTCCCTGACGCTTTCAAGATTGTGATCCACTTCCCTCCCATCTTCCCTTAAGGAGGTTCTCCCTAGCTGAGCATTGAAGGCAGATTACCCTGTGGCAGCATTGTGTGTGTGTCGCTGAGGGTTGAGCTCAGCGCTCAATAGTCGGAACAGCCCGGAAACCGTGTCACATCCTCCGCAGGTGAATCAACTTGCACAGGTCGGGGTTTCCCTGGTCCCTCCCCAGGCAAACACGAAACTAACCGGGCTCCCTGCCCTATAAACCGAGAGGAATGCTCTCGGTTCAGTTTTGGTAGTGTGTATCGTTTGCGTGCCAGTGAGAATCTGCTTTCTTTCCGAAATAGAGTCATTAGTGGGCAAATAGGGGGACAGAGAGAGGTCGGTCCTCGCTTCTCACCCTCACTCGGCAGGGCACTTCTACGGTCCTAGGAAGCTTTGTGAAGGCCGGATGCAGTCACGAGTGTGGGAAGGTACCGTGCAGGCCATTGCAAAATGCGCCAAGAAATGGCATATCGCCCCTTGCTTCCTTGGACCCTGGAAAAGCGACCCTGCGAATCCATGTTGCAGGAACGGAGCAAACCCGCAGAGAGGTGCGGGGATGAACCTGCCGGTAACCCCACTTGTTGCTGGGGTTAGTTATTTTGCAGCATAGGGGGCGTGGCTCTAGAGTGGGCCGGTCCGCGCAAGCGCAGCGTCTGGGTGTAGGGGGTTCCGGAAATTTGACTGAGACGAGATGGAGAAGTACGAGCGGATCCGAGTGGTGGGAAGAGGTGCTTTTGGGTGAGCCAGGGCTCTGGGGGAGGAAATTACTCAGGGAGAGGGAACATAAACCCCAACTCTGTCCTCGAAAGCGCTATCCGGTTAGCCCTGCTCCGAGGCGTGAGCATCCACTCTGGGAAGCCCCGCCCTAGCTTCCGGTCGCCCGCCTGGCTGGGCGCCTCGGCTTCGGAAGAGGTCACGCCCCCGGCAAGCCTAGGCGGCCCCGCGGGGTTCCTTCTGGTCTTTGCTTCCGGACTCGTTTCATTCAACAAATATTGATCGCCGGCTGTACATCAGGCTCTCAGCGCTGGGTATACAGTTAAGATAAAAACAGGCGTGATCTTTTCTCTCTCGGAGCTTACAGACTATAGGAAAAATGTACAAGAAAGAAGACATTGTTAAAGCAGCTATTAACAAGCTGCGAGAACAGTACAACGCCAGGGAAGTACTTATTTGGGGAAATTTCTCCGAGAGGTGAAGTTTAAAGCCAAGACTGGAGGAATGAGGACCAGTCAGAAGGTGAAAGCAGAGCTTTTCAGGTGGAGGAAACAGCATATGTGAAGGTCCTCATGGGGAAAAATTCAGAGTATTCAAGGAACTGAGAAAAAGACTGGTACAGTTGGGATGTAATGGGCAAGGTAAAGAATGCTTCCTCTGTTTTTTTGTTTTTGTTTTTTTTTAATGCTCACCTCTCGCTCATCTTCAGATAGAGCGAGAGGGAGACGGAGAGAGGGAAACATCAACTGGCTGCCACCCCCATGACCCCAACCGAGACGGGGACAAATCGCAACTGAGGTACGTGCCCTTAGCCCCTTAGCGGAACCGATCCGGGTCTCTCTGGACTGCGGGTCGATGCTCTAGCCGCTGAGCCAAACCGGCCAGGGCAAGAATGCTTCCCTTTTTTATTTTATTTTTTTAAACTTCTAATTGAGCCCAGCCAGTGTGGCTCAGTAGTTGAACGTGGACCTTATTATGCACCAAGAGATCGCCTGTTCAATTCCCTGATTCCCGGTCGGGGCACATGCCCAGGTTGTGGGCCCGATCCCCAGTGGGGGGCGTGCAGGAGGGAGCCAATGGAAGTTCTCTCTCATTGATTTTTCTCTCTCTCTCTCCCTCTCTTTCCAAAAAATCAATAAAAGAAAAAAAATAAAATAAAATTGATTTTTTTATTACTATTTTTTATAATCCTCACCCAAGGATATTTTTCCATTGATTTTTAGATAGAGTGGGAGGGAGGAAGAGAAAGAGAAGCATCGATGTGAGAGAGACACATCAATTGGTTGCCTCCCAAAAGACCCCCAACCTGGGCCAGGACTGAATGCACAATCAAGGTACATGCCCTTGACCGGGAATCGAATCCACAACTCTTCCATCTGCAGGCCAATGCTCTAACTGCTGAGCCAAATTGGCCAGGGCTTTAATTGATTTTTAGAGAGAGAAGAGGGAAGGGGGAGGGAGAGAGAGAGAGAGAAACATCAATGTGAGAGGGAAACATCCATCGGCTGCCTCCTGGCTGCTTCCTGCTCACCCCCTACCAGGGATCAACCACAACCCAGGCATGTGCCCTGACCCCAGTCAAACCCACAACCTTTCAGTTCACAGGACTAAGCCCAACCAACTGAGCCACACCAACTGAGCCACACCATCCAGAGTCTAGCCTTATAAGCTCAAGTAAGCATGTTGAATTTATTTGCAGTGTAAAAGAAAGAGGTTTAACCAAAGGATTTGGCTTGATATGATTTGTATTTTTTATCACTCTGGCCCTGGCCGGTGTGGCTCAGTTGGTTGGAGTGTTGTCCTGCACCCTGAAAGGTTTGAGAATGTGATTCCCAGTCAGGTCACATATTTATGTTTCGGGTTCCATCCGGTGGGGGTCATACAGGAGGTAACCTATCAATGTTTCTCTCTCACATTGATGTTTCTCTCTGTCTCTCTGTTTCTCCCCCCCCCCCCGCCTCTCTAAAATAATAATAAACAACTTAAAAAATATTACTCTGGCTGCTGTGTGGTTGTGGTTTTAGATTTGAGGGTAGCAGGAGTGAAAGGGACCATTTTGAAGGCTAGTGCAGTGTTTTAGGCAAGAAATGAGGATTTAACCCTTGGGAAAATGAATAGATTCACGATATTTTGGAGGTAGAAACAGGATTTACTTATGTGTTAGTGTGAAACTGAGGAAGGATTCTGGCATGATTTTCAGGTGTCTGACTTTAAAAACTGGGGATGGTGGTGTTATTTGCTGAGATGGAAGAGACTGAAGAAGGAAAGGTTTGGGAGCAGGAATCAAGAGTTTTATTTTTAATTTGTTAAAATTTAGGATGCTTGTGAGACATTCAGGTAGAGATGCAAAGCAAGTAGTTGGCTATGTGAGTTGGGTTCAGAGGTCTGAGCTGGAGATGATAAAATTAGATGATCATCTTCTAGCCCATTCATTCAGCAGATACTGCTTGAGCTCTTGCCATGTGCTGGCTGGCGTACGTACAAGGTTATGCACTAGGAATGTAGTGGTAAACAAGAAAGAACAAGAACCCTGCTTTTATGGACACTGACCACAAATTTGAAAGAAAATACTAATAATATGAATGGCTTCCATTCACTGAGCATTTTCGATGTGCCAGGCACTGTGCTAAATACCTCATATGCATGTTTTTCATTTGATCCCCTCAACAACCATGTCAGGTCATTTCTGTTTTCCAGATGATAATGTCACATAATCCAAGACCAAATAATTAGTAAGAGGAGGAGCCAGGATTTGAACCCAGGCAGTTAACTTCAGAGTTTGAGGAAATGTAAAAAGATCAAGACTAACTTTACCTCATTAGGCCTGTGGTGAAAATGAGTCTCAAATAAGTTAAATAACTTGCCCAAGGTCTCATGGAGTTTGTGGTTAGTCCTCCCCATTCCTAAACTCAGTGTTCTGTGCATTTAGATGACCTCTTAGTCTAGGTGCCATTCCCCTCTCTTAAGTCTGGTCACCAGTCAGTCACCAGGTTGATATGTGGCTGGAGGCTAAGCTGGTACCCATTACTGTATTCTGTGTCCTTAGGATTGTACACCTGTGCCTGCGCAAGGCAGACCAGAAGCTGGTGATCATCAAGCAAATCCCGGTGGAGCAGATGACCAAGGAAGAGCGGCAGGCAGCCCAAAATGAGTGTCAGGTCCTTAAGCTACTCAACCACCCCAATGTCATTGAGTACTATGAGAACTTCCTGGAGGACAAAGCCCTCATGATTGCCATGGAATATGCACCAGGTGGGCCGTTCTCCTTGCACTGGCCTGGCTCCAACTGCCTTTCACCTCTAGGACAGACAGACACAGATTAGCCATCTTCCTTCCTTGGAATGGGCTTGGCTGAGGGTCAGAGGTAATAGAATTCTGACCCCAGTAGTATGACGGGGGGAGGCCCTTGCCCTGTCTGGGTGTTTAGTTTCATAAAAGGAAAATCTCAGGCCTAGAAAAGACTGGATCTTGACTAGTCCCTTGCTGCTGCAGGCGGCACCCTGGCTGAGTTCATCCAAAAGCGCTGTAATTCCCTGCTGGAGGAGGAGACCATCCTGCACTTCTTTGTGCAGATCCTGCTCGCACTGCATCACGTGCACACCCACCTCATCTTGCACCGGGACCTCAAAACCCAAAATATCCTTCTTGACAAACATCGCATGGTTGTCAAGATCGGAGACTTTGGCATCTCCAAGATCCTTAGCAGCAAGAGCAAGGCCTACACGGTGCCTGGGCATGGAGGGGATCGCAAGGGTGCTGGAGGCTTTGAGAGCCAAGGCCCACTCTGCAACCTTATCTCCCCCGCCCCACCCCCCAAGGCCTTGGCCCCTTAGTCCCTGGCTGGGTTGTCCTGCAGGAGGAAGCACTTTGGCCTGCTTGGGGGAGGAGCTGTCTCCAAGTAGCCCTTGGTCTTCCCTCCCTGGACTGTAATTAGCTTCCCTTCTGCAGGTGGTGGGCACTCCATGCTACATCTCCCCTGAACTGTGTGAGGGCAAGCCCTATAACCAGAAGAGCGACATCTGGGCCCTGGGCTGTGTCCTCTATGAGCTGGCCAGCCTCAAGAGGGCCTTCGAAGCTGCGGTGAGTAAGCACCCCCAAGGGGACAACCAGGAAATCTCCCTCTAAAGTCCCTGCTTCAACTGCTTCTGTGATTCTTCTCTTGTGGCTGAGTCATGTCTCCCTCATCAGACTGGTGGATTACCCCAAGGCAGGGCTGTGGCTTCCCTCAGACTGTGAGTTCCTCAGGGTAGGGCTTGAGTCCCCCCTTTAAACTGAGGGCTCCTGAGGGCAGAGTTCCCCCATCAGATTAGGGACTCTCCTAAAGGCCAGCTTTAAGTTTTCCCAATAACCTGGGAGTTCTGAGGACTTAGCTGCTGCTTCCCTATCAGAGGTTCTTGATCATTTTGTAAGTCCCCTCACCAGACTGAGGTCTCCTGGGCACAGGGCTGTGACCACCCATCAGATGAGGGGCTGAGGCTAAAGCCACCTAAGAGCCTGGCCTGAGGCTCTGGCCAACCCCACAACTTGGTGCCTTCGCAGAACCTACCAGCACTGGTGCTGAAGATCATGAGTGGCACATTTGCACCCATCTCTGACCGGTACAGCCCTGAGCTGCGCCAGCTGGTCCTGAGTCTGCTCAGCCTGGAGCCAGCACAGCGGCCACCGCTCAGCCACATCATGGCGCAGCCCCTCTGCATCCGGGCCCTCCTCAACCTCCACACGGACTTGGGCAGCGTCTGCATGCGGAGGCCTGTGCAGGGAGTGGGGGAGGGGGCCCTGGGTTGCAGGGGCACCCAGTGGGGCATAAGGGCTCTCAGGGAAAGTCCCCCTTTCCTACATGTGTGAATACCAAGAAGGGTCGGTCCGTGTCCTGAGGCCCCCGTCTGTCCCACAGGGCAGAGAAGTTCCTGGCCACCGGCCCGCCCATAGCCCCTGGCAGCACAGGGAGCAGGACCACAAGTGCCCGCTGTAGGGGTAAGTCCAGCTGACCTTCCAGCTCCCCTCGGACACCATGCCGTTCCCACCAGTTTCAAAGGCCTGATGAGCCGTTCCCACAGGCGTCCCCCGGGGACCTGCACAGCCAGCCATTCCGCCGCCGCTGTCATCCGTGTACGCGTGGGGCGGGGGGCTCAGTGCTCCTCTGCGGCTGCCAATGCTCAACACAGAGGTGGTCCAGGTGGCCACCGGGCGCACACAGAAGGCCGGTGTCACTCGCTCCGGGCGTCTCATCCTGTGGGAGGTGAGCATGTTGGGGTGAGCCCAGTGAGGGGAGGGCATGCCTTAAGGAAGGGGGTGCTCAGGTTCTGTCCGGGCTCTCCCCTGTCTGCTCTGCAGGCTCCGCCCCTAGGCGCTGGAGGTGGAGCCCTGCTCCCTGGGGCTGTGGAGCAGCAGCAGCCCCAGTTCATCTCACGTTTCCTGGAAGGCCAGTCAGGTGTGACCATCAAGCACGTGGCCTGCGGGGACCTCTTCACAGCCTGCTTGACTGGTTAGCATGTCTGGAGACTACTCTGTGCAGGGAGTGGGGGAGGGGTCTATGAGAAGCCCCCCACCCCCTCCCAGCAACTTCCCTCTTAGTATCATTTACAAACTGGTCCCTTAATAATACTTCTATCCAGCCCTGGCCAGTTTGGCTCAGCGGTTAGAGCATTGGCCTGAGTCCAGAGAGACTTGGGTTCGGTTCCCGCTAAGGGCATGTACCTCGGTTGCAGTTTGTCCCTGGCCCTGGTGGGTAGTGCGGGTATCAGCCACTCGATGTGCCCCTTTCTCGTTGATGTTTCTCTCTCTCCCTCCCACTCTATCTGAACAAAAAATGGAAAAATGTCCTTGGGTGAGGATAAAAAAAATAAAAATAAAAAATAATACTTCTGTCTAGCCTGGCCATTTGGCTCAGTGGATTGATTGTCGTCCCATGGACTAAGAGGTCCCAGTTCGATTCCCTGTCAGGGCACTTGGTGGGGTTACAGGCTTGATCCCCAGTGGGGGGCGTGCAGGAGGCACATCCATGTTTCTATCTCTTCCTTCCTCCCTCTCTCAAAAAATCAATAAACACATATTTTACAAAATAATAATAATACTTCTACTAGTTGCTGAGCACCAGGGGTTTACTTACACAGTCTCTCTTAGTCTTCACAGTAGACCTGGCAAGGTAGTTATAGTATCCCATTTGACAGATCTGGGAACTAAGGTTCAGAGGCTAAGTCACTTGTCCAAAGTCACACACTTGGGAAAAGAGACCCTTGTCCTTATTTCTCCCCCATTTTATTCTTCCAGCCTTGGCCTCCAACTAGTTTTTTCTGGTCTATCTGGAAAAACAGCCTAATCTCTCTCCCTCTCCTTTCCTCACTTCCCCCTCCCAAGACCGAGGTATCATCATGACCTTTGGCAGTGGCAGCAATGGGTGCCTAGGCCATGGCAGCCTCAATGACATCAGCCAGGTGGGTGTTGCATGTACCTTGGGGAGGAGGAAGTAGGGAACATGGCAAAGTGCCTGTATGAGAGTTGACACCCAGGTTGGGGGCAGGGGAATCTTCAGCAACCACAGGTCCCTCTAGCTCCCAAGCTGCACCTGTTCTGGGCAGTATCAGGGGAAGTACAGAAAGACCAGGCTTCCCCAATGGTTGTGGTGGTGGTGGTGGGGAGGGGGAAAGTTAAAGAAATAGCCATCTCACGAGAATTTGCAGCCTCCAACTTTGTCCCTACAGGGGATGTTGAGTCCAGGCCCCTTGCCCACAGTTTTTTCTCTCTCTAGCCCACCATTGTGGAGGCCCTGCTGGGCTATGAGATGGTGCAGGTGGCCTGCGGGGCCTCTCACGTGCTGGCTCTGTCCACTGAGCGAGAACTATTTGCCTGGGGCCGTGGAGACGGTGGTAAGCTCTCCACCCTGTTCCAGCCTATAGCTCCACCTCACAGCAACCCCCAGCCATGATTTGTTCCCCTTCGTACCCACCTTTCACCCCATGGCCCATTTTCTCCTCCCTCTTTTCTCTCCAATTCCATTCATTTTTTTCAATCAGCAAATCTTTATTGTACAACCACTATGTGCCCACCCTGTGCTGGGTGCTGAGACAAGATGAACAAGATATCACTTCCTTCAGGTACTTCTGAGGAGATTTTATTCAGCCAACATTTTTCATTGTGGCCCTCTCTGGGTCAGGCATCAGGCTGGGCATTGAAAATAGAGATGACTTAGATGGGTTTCCTGTCCTCTTGGAGGACTCTGGTGGGGGGAAGGACAAAGGACAGACAGCATCAGGGCTCCACCCAAGGTCCAGAGGTGTGGGAACTCAAGGAATGGCAAAGGACACCACCTGGAGGAGCAGTGATGGCATCTGAACAGGGCCTTAAAGGAAGAGTAGGATTTTGACCCAAGGAGGGGCCAAGGAAGGGCAGCCTTCACTCATACTGTTACTCCCTCTCCTGGCGGTCTCATCCTGGCATCGCCAACTCTAAAGCTCAAACTAGCCCCATCCTGGCTTCATCTTACAGGCCGGCTGGGACTAGGCACCAGGGAGTCCTACAGCTGCCCCCAGCAGGTGCCCATGCCCCCAGGACAGGAAGCCCAGCGGGTTGTATGTGGCATCGACTCCTCCATGATCCTCACTGTGCCTGGCCGAGTTCTGGCCTGTGGGAGCAATAGGTAAATAGGTGCCCCAGGATGTCTAGACTACCCCCTTGCCATCTAATGTTGCCTGCTAATGTTCCATCTGTCATTGCCTACCCCCCAACAGGGATTAGAACTGAGGAGGACTAAGGGTGCTGTGGGTTCAACTCAGGATGTGATCTGTCCTCTGGTACATCAGCTTCTGCCCTGATAGGTGGAGGCAGGACAGTCTATACAAACTGTGTCAGTTGGCCTTGGCTTCTGGTTCTGCCCTTAGGTTCAACAAGCTGGGCCTGGACCACCTCTCCCTGGGGGAGGAGCCTGCCCCCCACCAGCAAGTAGAAGAGGCTCTGAGCTTCACACCACTAGGTTCTGCGCCCCTGGACCAGGAGACACTGCTGAGTGTGGATCTAGGCACTGCTCATTCGGCTGCTGTGACTGGTGAGTAGGACCTGGACAAGAAGGCAGGAGGAGGACACTCCTGACTTCTTTGGGACCTCAGTTGAGGCACCCCTTTTCATCCTTTCTTCTCTCCTCCCTTATAGCCTCTGGTGACTGCTATACTTTCGGCAGCAATCAGCACGGGCAGCTGGGTACCAATGCTCGCCGGGTCAGCCGGGCACCTTGTCAAGTGCAAGGTCTCCAGGGCATCAAGATAGCGATGGTGGCCTGTGGGGATGCCTTCACTGTAGCCATTGGGGCAGGTGATTAGTGGGTCCTATGGGGGCAGACAGGGGCATGGACAGACCCATGGGCAATGGGGGTTACCAAGCTCAGGTCTGCTGAACTCAGCAACCTCATATTGGGGCTAGTACCGCAGTCTGGGAGGACAGCTGCTCGCTAAGCTGTATCCTCTTCCCTTTTCCCTCTTTGGGATTCTCTTTGGCAGAAAGTGAAGTATACTCTTGGGGCAAAGGGGCCCGAGGTCGACTGGGAAGGAGGGACGAGGATGCTGGACTCCCTCGTCCAGTGCAGCTAGATGAGACACACCCCTACACAGTGACTTCTGTGTCCTGCTGCCATGGAAACACTCTCCTGGCTGTACGCCGTGAGTTACAACATTTTCCTTCTCAGCTACATAGGGTTAATCCAGCTGGTTCCTGCCCATACCCCCATCTCCAGTGGTCACAGCCCAAATCACTAAAAGCATCTTTAGGCCCCAAATAAATGAAAGCAGAAGCTGTGGGATAAAACTGAGTTTCCTGCCTGGGGTGAGCAAGGGTGGATACTTTGGGGCCTCATTGAAAAGTTGCCTTCACTGCTCCCCAGGGCCCAAACACATTCTTTCTCCTCTGCTCCCTAGTCCAGTTTAGTTTGAACCTCATTTTCTGGTCTGGCAGAGTCCAGGGCCCAGTGTGGAAGTGGGAGCAGATGTGGGTGATGCTTATTGGAGGCTCTGCCTTCTGGGAGGCTCAGAGGTTTCTCTTTTGTACTCTCTAGCCATTACAGAAGAGCCAGTCCCTCCATGAGGCACCTGGATACACCTCTGGACCACCCTGATATCGCTTCTCCTCTGAAAGTTCTTGAAAAGTACAGGTGCCTGAAGCATGACTGTCCCTATTTGCACCCCCTGGATTATGTCCAATGGGGAATTAGTGAAGCCCCTACACTGCTTTTGGCCCTGAATATGTAAAACTCAACCCACCCTATTCCCCTAACACCTCTCTCTTTCTTCCCTACCACTTCTCTTAAGTCAATGCCCCCAGGGTCTAGCTTGGCTAGAGTTGGAAGCCAGACCTAACCCTTGGAAGCAGAGTGGTCTTCAGAGCCTTGGCAGAAAAAGGCTGGAGGTGGATGTGGCTCCACCCATACCCTTGCCCCTTCCAGTCGATTAGAAAATGAATTCTTGGCCCAGCTGGTGTGGCTCAGTGGTTGAGCGTCAACCCATGTACCAAGAGGTCACCTGTTCGATTCCCGGTCAGGACAAATGCCCAGGTTGTGGGCCAAATCCCCAGTTGGGGGCATACAGAAGACGGCCAGTTGATGTTCTCTCTCATCGATGTTTCTATCTCTCTCTCTCCCTCTCCTTCCTCTCTCTCTAAAATCAATGAAGAAAAAAAATATATATATATATATTAAAAAAAGAAAAAGAAAATGCATCCATGGCCCTGGCCAGTTTGGCTCAGTGGTTAGAGTGTTGGCCTGTGGACTGAAGGGTCTCAGGTTCGATTCCTGGTCAAGGGCATGTACCTGGGTTGCAGGTTGGATCCCAGGCCCTGGTCAGGGTCACGTGGGAGGCAACTAATCAATGTGTCTCTCTCACATCAGTGTTTCTCTCTCTCCCCCTCCCTCCCTTCCATTCTATCTAAAAATGAATGGAAAACATCCTGGGTGAGGATTAAAACAGAAAGAAAGAAAATGCATCCCAGGTGCCCACTGGGACAGGGGCTCAGTGCTTTGGAGCAGGTCAAGCTGGGGCCTGCCTGGATGGCCATCCCAGAGGCCATTCCAGCATCCTAGCCTGTATATTGCCTGGGGCAGGGAGTGTGAGGGAACTGCTGTCACCTGCCTCTCACCCTTTGCCATTCCTCCAAAACAGGTTGGGGGAAAGGGTAACTGGCTAGACCAGACCAGTTTCCAGATGACTGGGAAGTAGTGCCAATAAAAACATCAGCTGCCTGCCTAAAGTGTGGTCTCTTCAGGAGGGGGGAGTGGCTGCCCAACACCCCAGGGTTGGGCTGTCGTCCCCCGCCCCCCCATCTCTGCTGCTGAGCCTTGGTCAAGGAAGGAATGTGGGCGCAGCCTAAGGCTGGGGCCGAGTTTCCTTTGGCCCAGTGCCCAGCCTGCCTCCCCTCCCCAGGCAGTCTCCCAAGATCTGGTTGCCCGGCTTCGGCTGCCTAGCACCTGGAAGCCGGCGTCCCGGGCTCCTGGGCGACACGTGGCCCCCGAGACTAGACGGAGCTGTACACTCGGGAGAAGCAAACCATTGTGGCGTGGCGCGTCCAGTCTCCGGGGCCCTCTGCCCATCCTGCGTCAGGGCGCAGCCCCCGTCTCCCCTGCTCCGGGGAGAAGCGGAGCCACAATCTCTTCCCCAGCGGAAACAGGAGCCCGGCTTCGGGGAGGGCGTAAGCCTGGCCAAGTGCCTACCTCGAAGCCTCGAGCTCGAGGGGTGAGAGGGGAGCACTCCTGGGACGGGCACTAGGACCGAGCGGGCACGGCTCCGCCCCCTCTTCCGGCGGCGGGCGGGCGGGCTGAGCCCAGGCCGCGGCCAACAGTCGGCGCCGCCCGGAGCCGGGAGCGCGGCGGAGCGAGGCGCGGGCTGTGGGGCCGCCGCGTGCCCGGCCCCGCTCGCCCGTGCCCGCCCGCCATGCCCGGTTTCGACTACAAGTTCCTGGAGAAGCCCAAGCGGCGGCTGCTGTGCCCCCTGTGCGGGAAGCCCATGCGCGAGCCTGTGCAGGTTTCTACCTGCGGCCACCGCTTCTGCGACACCTGCCTGCAGGAGTTCCTCAGGTGCGGGCCGGGGTAGCGGGGATGGCCAGTGCGGGGGGCACACCGCATGGGGAGGGGCCCGGGCCGGAGGCACGCCGGGCCTTTGTCTGAGCCTTGGCCCGGTGACCTCAGGGGCGCCCACCGTGACATCACGGGGCGGCGATGACGTCAGGCCCGGAGGGAGAACCCCACGTACTAATCCGTAGGGTTCCGGGTGCGAGTGGCTCGCGTGCCCGGTCGGAAGAATTCAGTACCTTCCTTAGGAGTGGAGGTGGGAAAAGACGCCCTTCCTGACCCGTGGCTGGCCCTTCCCCCTCACCTGGGAGCCACAGCAACCTACCTCATCCTTGAACTTTGAATCCTTCTGGGAGGAGGATGACAAAACTCTTCCTCCTGCGCTGCACCTTAAACTTCCGGAGTTTTCACTCATCTAACTAACCTCTTGATTCTTCGAACATTACAAGAACGGGGCAGCTATTGTTCTCCCATTTCACAGATGATGAAAGGAGAGATTCAAAGAAAGGCTGAGATTTGCCCATGGTCACAGTTTCTTCAAGGCTTATCTGGGATTTAAGTCTGGGCTGCATGTGGTCGCACAATAGTGGGAGGACTGTAACGCTCAGCTCTCCCCTGAAGCAGGAACGTTTTGGTGTCCCTCCTGCCCCAGGGGGTATTGAGTACCACTGATGGTCTATAGATCTTAGGAGGGGTCGCACCCTGGCTGTTACTGATCATCCCCTGTTCTCTGAGGACCCAGGGCACCCCTTAGCTCTTGGCATCCGTTGAGTTCTGGGCGCCCGGTGGTCTTGAATTTCCTGCCCACGCTGGGAACTGCTCAGGCCGGGTGTGGGGGGTTGTGTGCCAAGATCACAGGGGAAGGCTGGGTCAGCCGCTGCCATGTGTCAGGAGGCTGTTTGCTGAGGGGTGCAGGCAAGGAGAGCATCTCTGAGGCTTCTCCCTTTAGTGCACTCTCTCTCCTTCCCTCCCTCCCTCTGGCTGTCTCTGCAGTCCCTTGCCTGGCGGAAATCTCAGCAGGCTCTTTGTTTTTTGTTCCCCACAGCCTGGGCCCGCTCCTGCCCTCACATATGCTCCTGCACAAGCTGCTGTTGCCCCCTCCTCCTTTTCCCTCACCCTCCTCCCTCCTCCTCCCTCCTCCTTTCAGTGTACACACATTCTCCCCTACAGACACACAATCCCATTGTCTTCTCCAGTGCCCTTCCCCAGCCCTCTGGTTTCCAGATGAGGCCAGCTGAGCACCCCCCACCCAACTCAGCTGACCCACCCCCACTGCCTCAGGGAAAGATCTAGGAGGGGGCTGCCAGGCCCCTTTTCCTCCACCTCCCCTGCCCCTCTCTGCTACTTCTGCCCCTCCTCCTCCCGGAAATCCCCTCTTCCTCTCCTACAGCCCCCTCCCCCCATCCTGTCTTCTCCCCTGGGCCTGGGCCTCCACTGCAAGGCCTAGAGCAGTCTCTGCCCCTGCCTCCCCCTTTCCCCTAGAGCCTGAATTTTGCTACTGAGGCCCCTGGAAGGAGGTGGGAAGAGGTGGTTGGACAGGCTCTGCCCCTCACCACCACATGATACGGTACAACAAGGGTGTCTGTCCTTAGCACTGATGAAACCTTTGTCCTGACTGAGCCCAAGCTGTTCAGGCTAATCTGCTTGAAGCCTGGGGACTTGCCTCAGTCCCCTCCCTGTCTCAAAAACCATGAAGTCAGCACATTCCTGAAGCAGCCAAGCAGACCCCACCCCCCATGGCCCACCCCTCTTTCCCCACTCCTGGCAGGTTGGTCCAGGAAGGCTGCTTGCCCTATGGGCATGGGCATACTTCATCAGTGCCTGGGCATGTATTCTTTGCATTGATGGCATGGCCAGTGGTAGTAGTGGGATCAGAGAGAGGAGGCGGGTGCTAGAAATCCACTGGGCATTTGGGGCAGGAACTGCCCAGGTCCTGCAAAGTACCATATGGACAGGGCTGCCATGTGGCCTCTGCTTCCACCTGATTCCTGCCTGCCTCCCACATAACTGACACACCTGCCAGAAATGCCATGCCTGAGGGCCTTCCGTCCTGCTGGGTGAGCCCTTGCTCTGGCTAGGGTCAGCAAGGTCATGTGGCATACCAACAGGTTCCTTGAGTGCTACACAGCCTAGTGGGAATGGGTGGAGGAGGAGGGCGGCAGGCTTCAGATGCATGCCACTCTGAGCAGAGTCTTGGCGGTGTTTGCCTGGACTGTTTTTGCCTCTCTCCTGTGCTGTAAAGTATGACAGAACCTATCTGAGCTGTGGAATCAGACAGACATCCAGGTGCTGCTTCAGCTGTAGCCTCAGTTCTTTCATCTGCAAAATTGGGGATGTTCAGCTCCTCAGAGACAGGTGGTGCGGTCTTGTTGGTAGTGTAAACAGTGCCTTCAGCTAGCCTTTCCTCCTCTTTGCTTTAGGAGACACACCCTCATAAGAAGGAGGGAAGGGATGGGATAAGGTGGCCCTAAGCTGACCTTTGCCCCTGGTTCTTGGCTGGGCACCCTTATAGGAATTGGGAAGCCCTGGCACTTAATCTCAGCCCATCCCTGTTCACCCTGCCCCCCATCAACTTTCAGCCCAGCCAGTGAAAATTAACCTGGTTAGAGGGGATGGCTGGGCAGCCTGTTCTTTCCCAGTCCAGCTGCCATCCTGGGGGGAGGGGTGCCAGCTGCCACCTGTTGGCCAAATGCTGTCTGAAGCAGCTGTCTCTGCCTCCACTGGGCCTAGAACTCCCCTCCTCAGGACAAGAGCTGGGACCTTCCGGGGCCTTGGGGAAGCCAATACCCTCAGGACTCTGTTAGCCCTCTCAGGTGGGGCTGGCTAGGAACCGGTCTGGTGAGGGAAGGAGTCAGCCCTGGTTGAGTGGGTGGGGCCCAGGGTTCTCCCTCCCATAATGTGGAGCTTTGACCCTGTCTCCTCTCCTTTCACAGTGAAGGAGTTTTCAAATGCCCTGAGGACCAGCTTCCTTTGGACTATGCCAAGGTGAGTCCACAGAGCCAGGCAGAGGCCCAGGTATAGGCTGTTACCCTTGGTGGAGGCTGGAGTTGCTGGCCGCCAGTAGGCTCCAGGCCAATGTCAACCTAGTGCTTCCGAATCATGTGCCCCCACAAAAGTGGCCTGTTCCCTCCTTTGCAAATGAGGCCCATATTTGCCCTGGAGGGTGGGCACAATGCCCAGCTTGTGGGGGTGCACAGAGCTGCTCTGTGCCCACAAGAAGTGTTCCCCTCTCCTCTGGGTGGCAGGCCAGACCTGTGGCAGAAGGCCAGGACCCCTCTATCAGAAGGAAGGAGGCAGAGGGTTTGGGGGCTGCCTGTGATTAAGCAGGTTGATTGGCTGCTACTCCAAAGGGAATGTCATGTGCAGGCATGTTGGGGACCCCAGGATCTGGCAATGGAGCAGATATTGCCTGCTGTACCCTTTAACACTGGGCACAGAGGGGAATATAGCCCAGGAGAGGCTGTTACTGGCTCTGAGGTAGAGCTAGCCTATCTGG